GATGTATTTCTCCTGTTAATAAGTAAAGGTGTCTTCAGAAATGCAATGGCACCCAGAAAGGGGAAAAGAGCAAAGAAAGAAATATGGCATAAAGATGATCATCTGGACTGATACTCCAAAAAAGAAAAGCCCAAACAAACAAAAACAACAACAACAAAAAAAAAATCCCCCAAACCAGTAAATTATAGTGTTGTAGCAAGCATAAAAGGCATATCTTGGCCTTTCTTTACTGTAGTTCTTGGTTTAATTTCTGACACAACTTGCCAGTAAAAATGTGGGTGAATTTCAAGGTTGACAGAGATGACCTAGTGAATGAGGAGTTGAAGAATTTGTTTCTAAGTGCTGCCTGGTTTTTGTCAGGAGCTGCTGCTAGCACAACTGTGTTGGCAGGAGACAGTTCTCTCCTGAATTCGTAGCCTAAACTGCCAGTGATGGCCATTCATTAGAATGTTCACAAGGCGTTTTCAGAATTAAACCATATAGATTGCATCAACCTTAGTTACCATGTAAGTATACTAAATGATACTATACTTATGAAAATATTTTGAAAGAGAATTTATTAATCTCAAGAATATTCTACTACTTTTTTGAAACTTACAGACATCGGTGGATTTTGGATCTCACTTCTGCTGATAATCATCTCCAAACGCTAAGCATTATGTATATCAGAAAAAAAATGAAAGTACAAGAAATGATGCAATGATGTTATTCAAAACTACCTGTAAATCAAGTTTATTACAGTCCAAATGTATTTTAAAATCACTTTTCAGCATCAATTTGAATTTGTCTGGTTTTGCACTGGCAAATGGAGCCTGGGGCAAAGATCCCGTAAATAATAATGGAGCTGGCTCTGGAAGTGAAGGCTGCAAAGTTAAATCAGTGCACTGTTATGCATGACCTAACTAGCTCTGATAAGGGCTAATGCAGCTGTGTTGCTTTTTCTGGAACCTGAGCTGATATCATGTGGATATGCTAGCTTACTTTGGGCGAGCTCAGGGCTTCGTTTTAAGGAGTAGATGTGAGGTTTGATTCTCAGAACTGTGTTTTTGTTGGTTATGTTTTTCGGTAGGCTTATTACTGTTGCACTTAGACTACGCAGGAGAGTAGCACAATGTGCTTGAAAGTTATATGAACAGTAGTAGGTGATTCTTGCTTTACAAAGCTCAGTACTTTGCATAGCTGCTCAGAAAAACTGTAACAGAATATTTTTTTCAATAAAACTCACCAAGCAGACACTTGGATGTTAACAAATTGTGATAGGAATCTACTCTCCATGGTCTTCTGCAGCTCATCTGACGAGGCCTGCCATGGTCTGTGGTCCCCAGGCTCTGTCCTCTTGGCTGAGAGACTGCCTGCCTTCCCAGGGCTTCAGTGTTGCTGTGCTGGGGCAGCTTACTCAAATCACAGCTCCTTTGGGAGGAATAGTAAAGCTATGGTGTTGCTTTGGTTGTCATGGGCATATTGAATTTCCCTGCAAAATAGTATTGCCTTCCTCTGACCGGTTTTGATATCTCGGCTTGCTTTTATTTCTGATATCAGTGGTGCAAAGTATCTGGAACATGAATGGTGCTGAATCTGAAACTGTGACTTGAATGAATGTGGAGTCTTACAGCCTTGTAACCTGCTTATTGGTGTCCACTTTTATCCTGAATAACAAAATGCTGCCTTTTGCTGTATTCATATTGAATCTTTGCTTGTATCAGGACAGTGAAGATTCCTGACTCTGCAGATGGACTTGGGTTCCAAATCCGGGGCTTTGGCCCATCAGTTGTCCATGCTGTTGGGAGAGGTAAGCCATAAAAGCTGTCAACGGTAGTGGTAAATATACATTTAATATCTAAATGGCGTGGCTGAGATAAATCAAAATTAGATTCAGTTTAGATTTCCCCCCCCTCCCTCAAAGTAAGAAACAATATTGAATAAAACCAAATAAGATTCTTGTAAGTTCTTATACTTTGTAAGCTTTGGATAGATTTTCTGGGCTTTTTTTTTTTAAAATATGTATTTATGCAAATGTAGGAAAGTTAAGTTAAGGCTGTGTGTTCTTTACAGACAAAGGAATAGCTGATGGATGCAAAATCACCTTCTCCAGTGAATGGGTGTTGGGAAGCACTCACTTCCTGAGCGTGAATTTGTTAGGTGACTTTGTGGTTCTGCAATGTTCTGAAAACATTTTACAGGAGATGCGCTTTTCACAAATCTTTTCAAGGGTGCTAGTGACCTAGTCTGTCTTAGTAATTGCAGCTGTTTCCTCTAAATACTGTTTTGTCTGTTTTGTGATGGGATTGTCAAATGCTTGCCATCCCTAACTCAATATGTTCTTGACTGGTGCACTGGCGATAAAAGAAATGGGAAGCGTTCTTTGTCGCTGTTGCATGTTGTTAATGGTAGAGCCAACTAAGTGTATTTTCAGCTATTGTGGGGCAGTTGTGTCCTTTTTCCCCCTTCTCCCTTTGTAATTGAGGAATTTAAAATGAACTGATCTGCAAAGCAGCTAGATTTGAACAGAGCTCGATGACTTTTTTCCCAGGCCGTGGTGCCAGAAATTAGATTTTCAAGAGAAAGTCTAATAAACTACAGACTGTTGAGCTGATGTGATAATTATTTCTGCACCTGGATCTCAATTCAACTGCCTATCCTTGTTCATTATAGATTTGAGCAGAGCTGGATGACTTTTTTTCCCAGGCCGTGGTGCCAGAAATTAGATTTTCAAGAGAAAGTCTAATAAACTACAGACTGTTGAGCTGATGTGATAATTATTTCTGCACCTGGATCTCAATTCAACTGCCTATCCTTGTTCATTAAGCACATACTTTATTCCAATTAGCCTCAACAGTATGTGCGTGCTTGCCTGTGTGGTTTGCTAAACCTGAAAGATTTTAAGCATATGCTTAAATGCTTTGCTGAATTGGGACCTTGGTTTTTTTGAAGAGAGGTTTGTTGTTGGGGTTTTTTTGAGAGATACTTAATAAGGCCTATTTGAAAGTTGATTTTTAAATAATTTTTTGAGGGGCATTGCAATAGCTGATAATGGTGTCATTTCCAAAGACTTTCTTCGATATTAGATATAAATGCGGCGATCATCTAACCTGATAGTACCTAAAATGAGCGAAATCCAGGTATATTAAGTTATTTCCTTGACAAGTATGCTCAGCTGACAAGTCATGACATAGCTTTTCTATTTGTGAGCCCTGCCAGTTCAGTCTAGCCTTTTTTTTCATAGCAGCTAGCTTCTCCACCTCAGCCTTGCGGTCTCTAGGCGATAGATTTTGACTTCCCGGGCACCTTTGTGACAGTATCAAGAGAGACCTAAGGAGACGAACGTTCAGGTAGCTGGAACTAAGGTCATACTCCAGCAGGCTGTCTTTCAGGTGTTGGCTTGAGTCACACTGAAAACACCTGGAGACAGCTGCTATTTTGTAGTACCTGTTCAGTGGATAGAAGATTTTCCCAAGGTGGTTATTCCATTGTGAAAAGAAATCACTGAACCATGTATTTTATGTTGCTCAAAGAGAATGTTTTGTTTTGCTGTCATTGTCTACCACTCCCCACCCTCCGCCCCAAAAAAGGCCCCTAAATTGGAGATCTCCTACTTGATTTTGGGTATTCTGATGAAAGCTGTAAGACAGTCTGTAATAACACTGAGTTGATAAAAAGCTTAAAATATAAGAACAAGATCCTTGGAAATGTCTTTGGATTTGGAAATTTCACTTAATGTTTGACAAGAACCTCTAGTATGTTCTGATACTTCTTTATGAATTTCAGAAGGCTTCTATTTTGTATGTAGAATAGAGTCACCTGAAGTAGTCAAGAAGCTCATAAGCCTGGGGCATATAAAAGAATTCAGAATAAAAATGTTCTAAGTTATAATTATCAAGTTTCAAGCTAGAGCCATTTTATTCTTTTAAAATCCTTTTCAGACAAATTTTCCACATTTTCATATTACTAATCAACATTTGTTTCATAAAAAAAACTTTAGAAATTAACCTAGTCTCTTTATGTTTTGTTTTTATGGAATCATCTGCTAGGGAACTCAATTTTCTTGGAGTCTAGCTGACTGCAGAAGCACCCTGTGGTCAGGGGAAGTACATTAGAATTGATAAGAGCAGATTATGATTACAAAATGAGGCTTTTGGACTGTAAGCTTTAAAAGAGATGTTTAGGAAAAGAAGACTGTTAACCATGTGTTTTGTTTTTTGTTGTGTTTTTTTTTAATAGGAACGGTGGCAGCTGCGGCAGGTCTCCACCCTGGCCAATGTATAATCAAAGTGAATGGAATTAATGTCAGCAAAGAGACTCACGCAAGTGTAATTGCTCATGTCACGGCGTGCAGGAAGTACAGGCGGCCAATGCAGGTACATCTCACTTGGTACCCTTGCAGATTTTCCTCTAAATTTTCTTTTTGGTCAAAGTAAGCAGTGTGGTGTGTGTCTCTGTCTACGTATCTGTTGTGGTTGAGTGGGATGAGGGGAAAGGAGTGGTGAATAAAAGTGAAGAGAAGCCGGTTGAATTACAAAGGCTGAAGATTGCTCAAGTAGATTGCTGACATTTAAGGTCTGTTTAATTTCTGCATTGAAATAAATCTAAACATGGCTAATTTTTTTTCATATGGTATTTTTAAAGGATTATTTTAAGCATTTCTACAATTCTGTGAGGAAAGCATTATCAGGTATACTCTCATCATGATGGAGAGGGGTTTACACAGGTCGCTACCTGCTGGCAGCAGGAGAATGCAATGCAAAAAGCTGCTCTTCTAGAATTTTGTAACACTTCAACACATAGAGAGCAGAGTGCACATATTCCATCTATAAAAGTCTCTCTGTTCCCATTGCATTCCAATTTTGGGAATAAGCATGCATTCAAGGACTCAAAATTTCCCTTTTTTACTATAAGCGTGCAATTTTTGTTATCTTTTTCACATTAGATTAGGAACAAATCTCAGGCTTCCAAGACATGAGTTTAAGGAAGAAAACCAAAACCAGCTGGATTCTATAATGTGATTTTTCCAAATCCCTGCAAATTTTTCATAAACTGTGAACCAATTTCATTAATTAACTCCACAAACTCTTCCAGTGCATGTTAATTGAGAAGAAAAACTCAATTAAAATCAAGAGTGAAATCCTTCTCCCACACCTACTGCATAGATATGAGATAAGAATTATAAGAGTGAGTTCGAACTGTGTCATGCAGATACAGTCTTTATGAAAATGTTTGGCTGTTTGTGTTTAAACTCTACTACAGAATTGAAGTTGTTACACAGCATATCAAAGTCAAGATCACCTGTTCTTTAAAGGAAGATGTGCTCTAGTAAAGAGAGCGTGCTTTGTGCACTAATAGCAAAACCGGCTAGAATAAAAGATAAGCTGAATTCTTTATAGCAGGTGTGTTCTCTCTGTGTATAATACAGTATAAAACAGAGTTCCTGTAGAGATTAGTGACATCCAAAGAGGATTGATTAATGTTGGCCGGCCTTGACATGCCAAGTTACTGTGTGTGGTTTTTTTTTTAATCCAATTGTGTAATATGTTGGAGTACTAAACTGTTTTTCCTATACAGAGTATTTATTTCAGTCTTAAAAAGTAGCTGATCATCATTCAGCAAATCGCAAATAACTAAAATCCCCCAGACTGACAAGAAAAACTTCATTTAGGATATAGTGCTATCAAATGCTGTGGGAGAACTGTCTAGACTGAAATAAATGGCACTATTCCCACTGATGTCAAGACAGCTAAAATTTAATTTCCTATTCAGAAATTTGGGGTTTTAATTATTTGGAAGATGACTATGGATTTCTCCTATTTTGTAAGTACAGTGCATTAGCCTATCATTTAATTAATGGGAATACTGCAGTCTTTCCTGTGGCTGGCAATTGCGTAATTGAAAGGGGATTTTTTTTTCTGTTTCCTGTATATTCCAGTTCTCAAGGTGAGGAGGTTTCCTGCTTGCCTGAAGTGTGAAGTTTCATTTTGGATTCTTGCAGTGTGAATAACTGTGTAACTTCTGTTGGACAACGTTTATGTTCTTTCTGTCTTGTCTCGATAAAGAAAATGAAAAGCGGATTTTGCTTCTTGGAATTACAGTTTCTTTGCAGTGATACTAATCATGATGTGACAGATTTATGCTTAGTTTGTGCCTCTGTAATGCTTTGGGAGAACATTGCTCCAAATCATATTGCATTATATCTTGTGTTAACTTTTGAAACAGGGACTTCCAGCTTAAGTAGTTAGTCCTTCCTTTAGGCCATATTAAGGTCAAGTGGTGAAGGAACTCTTTGACAGAATGTAAATCTCCTATTAGAGATTGGCGTGGCAGTCTTAATGCTGCAAAGCAAACCCGTAAGACACCAAAAATAAGCAGCAAGCTTTGAGGTGTACCTGCAAAGAAGTGGGGGTTTCAGAAGTGTTTTGGTCGATCAGCTTGCGCACAGGTGTCTTCCAACAATCAATGGAGAGCTCTGAAAGTTAAGCTTCCTTATTAAAATATTTCAGTGTCATTGAGTGAAAAGTAAGGCATGGATGAATCTAGGAAACCCAGAGAGAAATAGTACCTTAATCATACAAAAGCTTAGTTATCTATGATTAATGGGATAAAAATAGCAACTGAATATTGTATATTAGCAAAGCATGATCAGATACACTTGGCATTCTGCGTGAAAATTGTAACATTCAGCTTAAACTTTTGCTATCCTTGCTTGACTTTGAATTCTTCCACAAACTTCTTTTTAAGGTCTGTGAATTCAGATTAGTCATAATCATGTCATTTATTCTGCTGTAGCTGTTGGAGAGAGAGTGATTGACTGTCAAGCTTCTTTTGAAGTGTAAGGGGAAGAGTAGTCTGGAGATGCTGTACTTGCTAGGCCCTTCGCAAGGATGTGATGGGCATGTGGCTGAGTAAATGGGGGGGGAGAATAAGATGTAAGGTGTACACGTGGCTTCTTCATAGGTTGTATGACCAAGTCACCCTTCCTGTGCTCGCGTGTCACTTGGTCACATAAGATGCTGGACTTTTGGGGCCTGAGATTCTGTCCTTTTTGGGGATTTTGCTAATCTAGGGGAAAAATAAAGAGCAGCTAGAAAGAGAACTGTAGTAAAGGCAAATATAAGTAATGAAGGCTGTAGTGTATAGTCTTCTTGTCAGTGACACATAGGTGATAGATTAACTGGACATACTATATCTTTGGTTGGTATTTGATAATATTTGCCAGCAGATTTGTAGACATATAGCAGATTTAGTAAGGCAAAAATCTCTTTGTTTTTTCATCATTTCTTGTCTCAAATTTTTTTCAATCTGCAGTTTGATTTGAAATGTCTTAAATTATTTTTGGCAGAGACGTGAAACTGATGGATGTCATGCTGTCATAGATTTCATACTGTCTCGTGACAGTACATTCTGAAATAAAATATAAGTTGACAAAATGCTTTAGGTGGTTTTAGATAATGCCAAAATTCTGTGATTTTCAGAATACTGTTTTTAACTGGAGCTCAGAAGGCAATAAAGTGAATAATAATTGGGGAATTAAGGCAACTATTTCATGTTGCATGAGAGCAGTGAAATAAGTTGCTATCAATTGCTCTTGGAAAGCTTTTCCTAGCTGTCTTTTTTTTGTTGTTTTTTAGCAAGATTCTATACAATGGGTTTACAACAGCATTGAAAGTGCACAGGAGGATCTTCAGAAAACAAACACCAAGCCCTCTGGAGATGACGGAGGAGATGCCTTTGACTGCAAAGTGGAAGGTATGTGATGCTTGTTTTGATTTTGGTGTTGCTTAGAACATTGGTGTAGTAGCAGGGAAAATATAGGCAGTGGTTTTGTTGTCAGAAAGAAAATTGGAATCAGACCCTAAGATGCATTTTACATGAGGATTTGCTTTTTTATGTATTCTAAACATGTAAATTTAACATGCTGGTCTCTGAAAATTACTATATTTCCCATTTTGAGAAAAAGCTCCTAAGAACACTTTAGGGAAAAATCTGTTCAATTTTCATTTGTCAGATATATAATCCTAGGAATTACCTGTTTTATTTTCACCACTAGTAATCATTTAAGGCCGAATTAGATATGTTAGTCACTACTGCATGAGAAATAACAAATCAACTATCCTTCAGATTATTTTCAGGCAATTAACATTTGGATAAAGCTGCATTCATATGCATCATGGTAATTAAAGAGACATTTAACGTGTGAACTGTATTTATGTTCTCTGGGTAAATGCTGATATTGTGGTTTCATTTCTGAATGCTGACACTTTGGCCATTTTCTTCTAGTTTATTTAGAGGTTCTCAGTTTTCCTTTTTTTTTTTTTGTTACTCTTTTATATCTCTGGATTATAAATGAAATTGAGTTAGTCCCCTTCAATAACTCTTTGTAAAGAGAGACTACTGTGACTTGTCTGTTCATGGCTCTTTAGCAATCTAGTATTTTAGCATCCATAAACCTACTGGTGTTCTGATTTTTAAATCATTCAGCTGGTAGCTGGTTTTTTTGATGGACGTTTTTAAATAGAATGATCAGACTATGCCTGTTTCTAGAATGTTTACCTAGGTCCTTTTTAGTTTGTTTAATGGCCAACCCTCCTCAACTGACTTGTGTTATTTTCTTTATTCTAGAGGTAATTGACAAATTTAACACAATGGCAATAATTGATGGAAAGAAAGATCACGTGAGTCTGACTGTTGACAATGTTCATCTGGAGTATGGAGTGGTTTATGAGTATGACAGCACAGCTGGAATAAAGTGCCATGTGTTAGAAAAAATGATTGAACCAAAGGGATTTTTCAGCTTGACTGCAAAGGTATGAAGCAATTTCTATATTAATCTTTACTACGCTTGCTACCAATGGAGCAACATCCGTCTCTTGCTTATTCTTAGGATTATATGTATTTCATTTAATATCTTATAATTGGTCTCCTTTATCCCTCTGACATTATGGAGGATGATTGTGGACTCAGGAAGCAAACTAAGTTATGGTGTGATTATAAATTGAGCCTCTAAACTTTAAAATGTTTAAGAGCTTTGAAGTCTTCCATTCCTCCTGCCCCTCTCACTTTTTACTTCATTATCAAATAAAACTGCTTAAGAAATATTTCTCCGTTGTTGTATCATAGAATCACAGAATGCTTTGGGTTGAAAGGGACCTTTAAGGGTCATGTAGTCCAACCCTCCTGCCATAAGCAGGGACATCTTCAACTTGGTGAGGTTGCTCAGAGCCCCATCCAGCCTGACCTTGAATGTTTCCAGGGATGGGGCATCTACCACCTCTCTGGGCAGCCTGTGCTGGTGTTTCACCACCCTCATTCTGAAAAATTTCTTTCTTAGATCTAGTCTGACTCTACCTTCCTTTAGTTTAAAACCACTACCCCTTGTCCTGTCGCAACAGGCCTTGCTAAAAAGCCTGTCCCCATCTTTCTTATAAGCCCTCTTTAAGTACTGAAAGACTGGAATGAGGCCTCCCTGGAGCCTTCTCTTCTCCAGGCTGAATAACCCAACTCTTTCAGCTTGTCCTCACAGGAGAGGTGCTCCAGCCCTCGGATCGTCTTCGTGGCCTCCTCTGGACTCGCTCCAACAGGTCCATGTCCTTCTTGTGCTGAGGACCCCAGAGCTGAAGGCAGTACTGCAGGGGGGTCTCACCAGAGCGGAGTAGAGGGGCAGAATCCCCTCCCTTGACCTAGTCATGCTGCCTGTGATGCAGCCCAGGATATGATTGGCCTTCTGGGCTGCAAGCGCACATTGCCGGGTCATGTCCAGCTTTTCATCTACGAGTACCCGCAAGTCCTTCGCCATGGGGCTGTTCTCAATCCCTTAATCCCCCAGCCTGTACTGATACCTGAGGTTGCGTTGACCCTAGTGCAGGGCCTTGTACTTGACCTTGTTGAAGCTCATGAAGTTCACACAGGCCCACTTCTCAAGCTTGTCCAGGTCCTTCTGGATGGCATCCCTTCCCTCAGGTGTGTCAACTGTACCCATCAGCTTGGTATCATCTGCAAAATTGCTGAGAGTGCACTTGATCCTGCTATGTCATTGATGAAGATATTAAACAACAGTCGTCCCAGTACAGACCCCTGAGGGACACCACTTGTCAGTGATCTCCATCTGGACATTGAGCTGTTGATGGCTACCCTCTGGATGTGACCATCCAACCAATTTGTTATCCAGCAAACAGTCCACCTATCAAATCTGTGTCACTCCAATTCAGAGAGGAGGATGTTCTGAGGGATTGTGTCAGAGGCCTTCTAGAATTCCAAATAGACCAGTATGGAATTCATGGAGTAGTTAAGTAAAGAAGTACTTCCAGCACACTGATTCTGGCCTTAAATAATGCAGTGTCGACACCCTTAGTGTTCAGGCTGGCTAATTAAATACTTAGAAATGATTCAGAAACAATAAGGAGATGTAATGTGACTATGTTGGAATAATATAAAGTTTATATAAAGTGATAGTGGTCTAAATGACTACAAAAGGTCCACTGGTACAAAAATCAGGTCTCTTAACTCAAAGGCAATAATAAAAATTGTAGTGGCACTTCATCAAATGTAACTGTCTGCAGATGGTTTTAAATACTCTAAACATAAATTTCTCTGTCCCTTCAGTGGGGTCTTATGCTTCTCTCCATATGCTTCTTTCTCTGTTTGCTATGTATTTATTGTTGCTTTGCATTTTTAAACATCTCTGTTACGCATCGTATGTAGTAGGGGAGTGAAGTACTTCTGGACTGCTTTCCTATATTGTGCAAGTCTTTGTGTTAATTATTAGAGTGAGAAAGTATCCAAAGTTGTGCTGCAAAAGTTACTGGTTTTGAATGCACTTGTTTTATTGTACAGCTGCAAAAAACTCCACTTGAATTATTTAAATTTGTGCTATTAATTAAATCTGACATAAACGAAGCTCAGGAACTGTGGGTTAGATGAGTGGACAGTGAGGTGGATTAAGAACCGGCTGAATGGCAGAGCCAAGAGGGTTGTGATCAGCGGTGCAGAGTCTGGTTGGAGGCCTGTAGCGAGTGGTGGTCCCCAGGGGTCAGTTCTGGATCCGGTCTTGTTCAACCTATTCATCAATATTCACTGATGATGCAAGACTGGGAGGAGCGGCTGACACACCAAAAGGCTGTGCTGCCATTCAGCGAGACTTGAACAGGCTGAAGAGATGAGCGGAGAGGAACCTAATGAAATACAACAAGGGCAAGTGTAGGGACCTCCACCCAGGGAGGAATAACCCCATGCACTAGTACAGGCTGGGGGTTGACCTGCTGGAGAGCGGCTTGGCGAAGAAGGACCTGGGAGCCCTGGGGGACAAGTTGACTGTGAGCCAGCAATGTGCCCATGTGACCAAGAAGGCCAATGATACCTTGGGGTGCATGAGGAAGAGTGTGGCCAGCAGGTCGAAGGAGGTTCTCCTCCCCCTCTGCTCTGCGCTGGGGAGGCCACATCTGGAGTGCTGGGTCCAGTTCTGGGCTTCCCAGTTCAAGAAAGACAAGGAACTACTGGAGAGAGTCAGTTGAGGGCAACGAAGATGATGAGGGGACTGGAGCATCTCCCTGATGAGGAAAGGCTGAGAGAGCTGGGTCTGTTCAGCCTGGAGAAGAGAAGACTGAGAGGGGATCTCATCAATGCGTATAAATACCTTAAGGGTGGGTGTCAAGAGGATGGGGCCAGACTCTTTTCAGTGGTGCCCAGCGACAGGTTAAGGGCAATGGGCGCAAACTGAAACTCAGGAAGTTCCACCTGAATATGAGGAAGAACTTCTGTACTTTGAGGGTGGCAGAGCACTGGCACAGGCTGCCCAGAAAGGCTGTGGAGTCTCCTTCTCTGGAGATATTCAAAACCCGCCTGGACGTGTTCCTGTGCAACTTGCGGTAGGTGACTCTGCTTTGGCAGGGGGGTTGAACTGGATGATCTCCAGAGGTCCCTTCCAACCCCGACCACTCTCTGATTCTGTAAAGCTTAAAAGTGTGACCAAAATAACTGAGGTGTTTTAATACATTGATTAAACTCTGTGGCAGAAGAGTTAAAGGCTTTCCTTAATTCGTCCTGTTGGGGACCTGAGAAAAAGATTCTCAGGATGTAGTAATGTATAATCTGTGACTTCTTAAAAACTTCAGATTTTGTACTCCAAAATTTCTATACGTTGTCATTTTTTTTCTAAACTCATTGGTCAAGCATGCAAATCATATATTACTTCTATGATGGTGGATAGTATAATAATGAACTGTAGGAGAAGTGAGTTACAGACAGAAGTCCCATGATAGATTACTGCAGTATGTGGTGTTTGTCCAGACTTCAAGTATCTGTAAAATGCAAGCCTGTTCTTATTTAGGTGCCTTAATCTGGATTTTGGGTGCCTTTGTTAGAAAGTTATTTTGGGTGTGTTTTTCAAACGCATCTTCAGAGTTGGACCCAACCAGCAATAGGCATCTCCCAAGTTCCGTAACACAGTGAATTTCAACGCCTGAAATGTAACTGTGAACTCAGAAGACAGAAAAAAGGGCACGTTGAAGAAATGAGGGTAGTATACAGTCCTTTTACAGTCTTTTTTTTTTTTTTTTTAAATCACCATCATTTGCTGATGCTACTTCCATCACAGCAAGACTTCAGTCTTTGGACAGTATAGCTTATTCTGTTCCCTATTCCTGTTTATATATGCAGAATCTACAAGAGGATAGCACTTGGTTTTCTTGTATGCTTTTTCAATATGTTAGTATTGCTTATACTGCCAGACCGAAGTTTTGCTACAAGTAAGGAATTCATTCATCAGCTTTGCATAATATGTGCTGTTCGAGTAAATACAGCAGATAATGTATTTCAGAGGAGCCATAGTGGTTACATTAGTAGGAAATTAGTAGTAAATCCATTATCAGCAATGTTATGGGAAGCCAAATAAAAGTACTTATTATGGGTATAACTTATGCAGGGGAGAGATTTAAAGAAACCTCTTTGCTTCCCCAGTTTCATGAGTTGTTATGCAGCATTGCCTGTAATGTTAAAAGGCAACTGATTGTCAGGCTTTTCAGCTTTAATTATAAGGGAAGGTAAGTAAAGGGTTAAGTAAGCAGTTATCTTAGTCATCTTGTTTCATAACGTACTGCTGTTGTTTTTATTATCATAGATTCTTGAAGCACTGGCAAAAAGTGATGAACATTTTGTGCAGAATTGCAACAGCCTCAATTCCTTAAACGAAGTGATCCCCACCGAGCTTCAAAGTAAATTCAGTGTCATTTGCAGTGAGAAAATTGAGCATATCTACCGAAGAATCTCTAGTTATAAAAAGGTATGACTGGCATGTCCTAAACTTTGTGATGTTTGTCTTTTATGGGAAAACCAGAGGAATGTGGTACAGTTTGAATAACTCTTCAAAATGTCTATTGCAATGACAAAAATACGGCTGAAAGTTTAGCTATTTTGAGGCGTGGATGCCTAAACTGACATAAATTGTTTTCAAACCATGCTCTTTATTATCCCTTTTTTAGACACTGTGTGGATCGTATCCTTTCTTGTTTGCTGTGTTCAGTTGTAGATAACAATTTGACTGCATTTCCCACAAAAGGCCCAGCATTCTCATAAATGCCTTAAACCAATGCTCTGATGAATTTGCAGATATTAACCAAAAATGAAGCAATAACAGCAGAATTGTTTTTTCCTTCTAACGCATCTTATTTTTAAATACCAAATTGGTACTCTTTTATTCATCTTTTATGCCCTTCAAATTGGTATGACTTTCTAGCCTGACTATTAATAGTAATAGCTCTATGAGTTGTTAGATTAACTTGGGTTATTAAAACATTATAGCACAGAAAAGAGAAGAAGGTGGTGACTTTCATACACTTGAGATCTAAATTAATGAGGTGTGAATCAATAAATAACCCGGAGTATGACTTCTAGTTGCTGTCAATGTATTTGTCTGTAGTTGTTTAGCTAAGCAGGGCATAAATGAATCAACTGTTTGCCAATTTGTTAATGCAAATTTATTTTCTCATCCTGGCTTCTGGTTCCTCTCCCATACGATCTAATTCTTGGAACTAGTTTGAAGTAGGCCCAAAATGGCTACATAGGACTGGCTCTGCCCTGTCTTATGTCAGTTGTGACATTTACAAACTAGTCTGTTCTGAGAGTTAATGCACAAAAAATTGAAAAGAAAACAAAGAAAAGGAAAAACAGGTTCAATGTAGAAATTTCACACAATTCTGAAAGTTGCATGGAAAAGAACAGATAATGTTTTCTTGTTTTTCAAAGGAAAAGGAGGGAAAACTGTAAGGAAAAACTGTAGCTTCAGAAGGATGGAGGCCAAAAAGTGGCTTTCCAAAGACTTTTCAGGGTACATGCTGAGAAGAAATGCAATAAACTGAGGAGCTGAGTCACAGAAGGAGACATCAGCAGGATTCTGATACTGCATTACCAAACGTCCGATCTCTCTGTTTGCCTGAATTATAAACCTCTGTGTTTTCAAATGGATTAAAAATCAAAATGTCTTTTTTAAAAACCAAATCCATTAGTTTTAACATTAACAATAGTGTATTTAGAGTTCAAGTAACATGTAGTGGTTTATACCTTTCCTGTAGCCAAAAAATTTGAGCGTGATGTACGGTCTCTTTACACAAGGCCAAGACAATAAATGAAATTGTATTGTGTTATGCTGGATATGAAACAAACAGCCTCAGGGAAGTTTTCATAGTGCTTGTGCTGTCTAGAAGCAGATATTGCTGATAGAAACTGCACTTTCAAGCTCGTCTGCTCAAAAATCAGTAGTTTCACAGTTACAGGTTTTAATGACAATTAGTAACGCAGTGAATTGCAGGAATAGATGTGTCGTTTTCTTGGCAAGGTAAAGGTAACCATAGTTACAGGAGACTTTTGGAGCGCCTGAGCACGGCTTGGCTCATGGTTTCACTGTGAAAGTTTGAATTCTATAAATAGAAACCCTGTAGATTTCTGCAGTTCCTACTATTATTATTATTAGAACATTTTGCTCGTAATAGACCTTGGGTCCAGTACCATGAGTCCCAGATGTTTCTCAACACATATATGAAAAGAATTTTGGGCCTGACTTATGACCTGATTAAATCATAGCCAGGCATTTGGTCTCTCTGGAGCAGGATGTGTGGGAGATTGAGATGAGAAATATGTACTGCTTGCAGGAACATTTTCATCGTTGAATGTCCTTAGTGCCCTTCTTAACATTTGTACATTCTTCAGCCTTTGAACAATTCCATAATTGGATTTCTTGTAACCTTCCAGATCTTGTTACGATATAAAGATTTAAATGTAGTTAATCAGTCAGATGTTCATTATGCTGAAGTAATATGACACCAAAATAATCAGGAATTTAAATCCCAGCACAAAACCCTGATATTACTCAGAAGGGACATACTTTGTTCAACTGAAGTGTTAATCAAAACTTCACTGATTGAATTTCTATTGACATTTATTAGGGAAGGAACTTTGCAGGTTAACTTTGAAAATATTCTTATGCTCCATAGCTGAGGTAGACCTGTGCAATATTTTCACTGGAGAGATACCGTGATTAAAATATCAGGAACTTGGAACTGATTACGTCTTTTCCAGAAAAAATTCTCACCTGACAAGAAACTGCACTGGGAAAGACACATTTTGACAAAAATCCTGCTTGTGACTGACAAGTCTCTTTTCCAATTGGAGAGCTAGATCTCATGACTTTTATGATTCTGAAGTACGTGTATTTTCTAAGCGTGCAAATTTAGTACAGTTCAGTCTTCGCCATTTTGGGTTGACATCATCTCATCTTAAAAAACAAATAACTCTAAGCCTGTTCAAGAGCGTGCACAAAATTTCAGGTGTTACCGTGAAGGAGATGTGGCTAAGCACTGTGTTAGAAATAGACCATAAAACAGAGGGTAAAAAAAAATGTTCGTCATTGCTGAGCTGATACATGGGGGAGAGAAGAGGTGGTGGACTAGCAAGTCTATAAAATACAGTGTTTGCAATTTTTATGCTCTAATGTTTAGCAGCGTCACAAAATCACTCAAAATCACAGAGTGATTGAGGTTGGAAGGGACCTCTGGAGATCTTGTCCACCCGCCTTGCTCAAGCAGGGCTACCTAGAGATGGTTGCCCAGGACCATGTCCAGATGGCTTTTGAGTATCTCCAAGGAGGGAGATCCAACAACCTCTCAGGGCAAGCTATGCCAGTGCTTAGTCTCCCTCCCAGTGAAAAAGTGTTTCCTGATGTTCAGAGGCAACCTTCTGTGTTTTGGTTTGTGCTCATTGCCTCTGGTCCTGGCACTGGGCACCAATGAAAAGAGCCTGGCTCTGTCCTCTTTGTACCCACCATTCAGGTATTTATATACATTGATGAGATGTCCCTGGGCCTTCTCTTCTCCAGGCTGGACAGTCCCAGCTCTCTCAGCCTTTCCTCAGAGGAGAGATCCTCTAGTCTCTTCATTATTTTTGTGGCCCTTTGCTGGACTCTCTCCAGTGTGCCCATGTCTCTCTTTCTGGGGAGCCCAGAATTGGACCCAGAACTCCAGTTGTCGTGGCCTCACCAGTGCTGAGTAGAGGGGCAAGATCGCCTCCCTCCACCTGCTTAGCAGCGCCTCTCCTAGTGCAACCCAGAAAACCGTTAGGGAGGACTTGACTTAATCCTTCCTGAATATGAAATTCATAATTCATAGCTTCCAATTCTGTTTTTATTACAGCTTCAGGCAAAAATTTCAGAAATTTTTGCAAGATATTGACTTGAAAACATCTATGTCAGCAGGTGTTTATAAATGTCATGTGCAGTACAGCACTGGATCATAGAGCATTTCCAGAATTTCTCCCCAGGAAGACACTTAGTATTTTATTATGTTGCAAGGAAAATAAATTCTGTCTCCTTGTTACAAGGCTATTTACATTTGTAAATATCATTTACTTCAAAAACCAACCCCTCAAAAATATAAAATGAAAAATGTTTTTTCTTTCCCTTGTAGAGAAAGATAGAAATTATGAAGTCAAGGCATCTCAAGTCAAGGATACCTGAAATATTTTAAACTTTTGTTTTCTAGTCACGTACACAAGTTTTGTCAGCCACATGCTGACACATCAAAAGCTGTTAATCAAAATCTTGTTTCCTTTCTCACTTCTAGTTTTCGAGAGTATTAAAAAACAGAGCTTGGCCTACCTTCAAACAAGCTAAGTCAAAGATTTCACCACTTCACAGCAGTGACTTCTGCCCAACCAATTGCCATATCAATGTGATGGAAGTGTCTTACCCTAAAACCTCAACTTCCCTTGGTAGTGCCTTTGGTGTACAATTAGACAGCAGAAAACATTCTTCCCATGAAAAGGAAAATAAAAACACTGATCAAGGTAAGTCAGTTGAGCTTGAAAGAACTGCTTCCATTGCTTCTGATATAGAGTCTTAAAAGGTAACTGGTTCAGGTTTATGTACCCAATATTAAAATTAAGGACAAGCCTTTATGAAATCCCCCTGGTTTTGATACTTAGGTTTATTTTAAAGCATAATAAAGGCTAGTCATAATTTCACAAGAACTTTTTCCTTAAATAGCTTGACTTTGATATGCAAAATAAAATGCAAAATTAAGTAATCACATGAAGTCTTAAGCAGCAAAATATTTCAAAGTCTGTTAGGTATTTTACTAATTTTAAAATGTATATTAAAAAAAGATAATGGTGTAACTTCTTTGGATTATTCCTAGGTAAACTGAATCCCATGATCTATGTCCAGCATACCATTACTACTATGGCTGCCCCTTCAGGACAGTCTCTTGGCCAGCAAGAGGGCCATGGTCTGAGGTACCTCTTAAAAGAAGAAGATTTAGAAACACAAGATGTCTATCAAAAATTGCTGTTCAAATTACAAGCTGCACTGAAAGAGGTGGAAACATGTGTCTGTCAAATTGATGAGTAAGTAAATGTTACCATCTGGACTTGCCTTTCATTTTCCCATTGAAGATACCGATAAATCTGGGTATCCTTTGTGTATAGTGTAGGATCAATGTTGACTTCAGATAGAATTGAAGTAAGGCAAAGAATTAAACTGTAGGTAATATTATATTTTGTTCTTTTTCCCAACATCCCTGATTTTTTCCTACTTTAGTTTGTAGCTTGTCTCTAGAGTGTGGAAATGCTAATTATTTTGAGGCGAGAGAAATACGAGGCCCACATGTCACCTAAAATTTGACTAGGAATGGAAACAAAGGGCAGAGATATAAAAATAGCTTTTATTGAACTCTTCAGGTATTGCTGAATAGTCCCAAAAATGAATTTGTAGATAAAGTATTTTTCATCCATTGAAGATTATTAATTTGTTAGACATTTTTTAAAAAAAAAATTGGCCTTAATAAACAACTATGGGTCTAAGGGAAGCTACTCTTGAGTGATTAGGACACTTGTCTTGAATGTGGGAGACCCAGAACCTCATCACAGTTTGTTCTAATTTAGGACAAGGATTTAAAACTTGCTTTTCCATTTGTGAGGTAAGTGGGTTCACTACTAGGTTATTTGCTGTCGTGGGATAAGGATGAAGAAGGATGATAGGTCTTTCACTTTTGAAAGATCCCATATGTAATGCAAATGTGAGAAATTATTCACTTTGAAAATATAAATAACATAATTTTTTGAGTTTAAAAGCCAATCATTCATGATCTCCAGTTTGGAAAAGTGGTGTATCATTGCTTCTCCTGTTATTTTGAAGACTCTACAATGATTTGTCTTTACATGGTTATTTCAGAATGGGAGTGTTTTTTGGTACTGTTCTAATAGTAATGTGATAGTTACAGAGTAATAAAGAATTGTAGTTAATGTGTTAGATACTGCGATAGGAATGAAAGTAAGAGTGGCCTCAGAATTTTTTAAAGAAAACATTTTATGTGCCTTTATGTAATTCTACTAATTGTCATGCTGAAGTTGGTTAGTTAAGATAATTTCAATGCTTGGGTGCACTTAAAAATGACTGTCTGTAAAGCCTATGTTGTCAGTCTTCCTCAAGGAAGTCAGAAAATTATATATGGAAGTTCAGTCAATACTTCAGGAAGTTCCAGTTACTAGTCTGCCACTCCTTTCCTTTCTACTCCCTTGAGCCCGTGATGCAAAAGCACAGGAACTTCTGAGCCTTTCTTTCATTCACATGTGTATAGAGAAATACATGCACACATATATATATGCACTGTGTGTACAGGTATGTACATATATACATACACATATTCATCTTGAGAGTCACACAGTTGTGACAGTAAACACAAGGGTTCACTTTTTTCTTTCCTAAATTTCCTGTACACTGACCTTGTAGCAGATCTTGTATAAGGTGCACAGATTTATTTAGCAAATTTGACCTTTTGCTATTTGTAAGACTGAGAGTTTTGTGCTTTTTTCCTCATGGACTTCGAGTGGACTGCCACTGTGTAATTACTGTGGAGGAAAGCACTTTTATACAGGAAACAGGATAGCCAAGGGATGTACTTAAAAGTGCTGAAGAGGGAAGCTGGGACTATCTGGGTGTGAGCAGTTCAGCAGTACGTGGTGTATTGTGTTAGAACATAGTTACAGCTACTAATTAACTCTTGAGAGAAAAGGTAGGACTACTAAGAAACAAAAGGAACAGTAACAAGATAGGATAATCAAACAGCTATGCTTTCTTTAGAAATATTCATACTTCAGGAGCTAGGAGGAAATGCCTGAACATACCGATCCTTGAACTTTATAGAACTTCTGTTTTCTGTTATAACATAGCAACAATAAAATTCATGTCTTTATTTACTGAATTGCTTATTATTATAAGCAATCCTCATTATTATAATTTTCTCAGGACAGAAAATAGGAACATGGTATCACAATTCTAAATGTATTTGATATTGAATGATAGAAAAATTGGGCTACTAAATGACTCTTTGGTACCCTTTATAACAGTACTGTTGAAAAACTGTGGTTCTTTCATGTTCCTAGATGTCTCTGATCTGTGTTGAGGTCAGTAATGGTCCCTCTCTCATCCTTCAAAATCTTGGGCCAGTGTTACCTGCCCAGCCTCTCCCATCTGTTAGTGAATGAAAGTGACCTGAAAAACAAGTGTTTCACCTGAAGAGCAGTTCGGTGAGAGCTTGTGGATTATGGGAAGGGTGTGTCTGAGAGAAGATTGTGTACTCCTAGCATTATCTTCATAATAATTTTTGTCATGACTCGTTGATAAGGTTGGGTTGCATAAGAAATACAGTACTGATGGAGGGAGAAAGAGAGATACACAGAAAAAAGATGTGTATCTCCTTTCCACAGCCTCTCAAAGTTCAACTGCCTCCTCGTTCAAATAGTTTAATAGTATCTCAGCACTTCTTTAGTACCATTGCCAGATACCCACCGTTGATACTAGGCATTATACAGAAATAAGTCCTCCTTCAAGTTGTTTTCTGCATGGTGACTTTACTGTATTCTTGGTTCACGTGCACGCAGTGTGCTCCCAGGATCCCAGCTGGTTTTTTGGAAAGCTGTGTGTTGGGAGTATACAAGAGTCTTGAACATTTTCTGAGCCTCCGTGGAGTGAGGAAAAGGCAAAGCGGCTCATAGGTTGCATAGGTTTTTTGTTACTGCCCGTGGCTATCCATTTTTAATGCTTTCACTAACCATAGCAGGTTTTCTTTTTCTGACATACTTTTAGGATTCTGTGGATTTGGGTTGCATATAGGATTAATTCCACATGTGAGGGTTTTTTTGATCGAGATTTAAATTCCTCTGTTTCATGGAAATTTTCTTCATAGTTACAGAGACTTTCTAGCTGTTAGTTACTACTCATTCACATAGTTGTCCTATGAGAGACAGACGTCTAAGATAATTTTGTTTGGGGTAGACCCATCTTCAAAGAAAATATAATGTAATATAATATAAACATATTCTGTGTTTAAGAAGAAAAAAAAAAAAACTTAAAAAAAGGTCTATTTAAGCATTATTATTGAGGCTTTTTTCTGTCCAGGTTTGGGTTTGTGTGTTTTAGATTCCCTGAATTGGGTTTCTAAGAGCACTTCAGTGACCTCAGGAACTAGCAGCTCCAGAACACTGTTATCCAAAGTTCCAGCTTTCGTTAGTGGTGGTTCAGCAAAAAAATTTTCCTTAGAAAAAGAGCCTGCCTGCTGAGAGAAAGTGAAAAGCTCCCTTAGGAAAAGCTCCAGCTACCTTAATCAGTCTTTTACTGAGATCTTGGCAGCAGTGACTAAACAGTCACATAAAAGAAGAGGGTATAATAGTCTGTCTGTGTCTTGACAAATAATTACTCAGGGGAAGATATTTTCAGGAGCTGAAATTGCAGTTCATTATGCTTGTTTCTTACTCTTGATTATTTTCTTGCAACAACAAAATCCACAAGAAGTTAACAGAATGGATCTGCCCAAAGCCCATTTTTGTTTTCCTAGAAGTGGATGATAACAGGAACACAAGAGAAAGCAAAAGTACAGATTAATCCTTGTCCTTATCTCATCTCATCTTCCAGCAGGCAGTGCTACAAGGTCTTCTTGGAATGGACCTTTTGTTTTAAGAGCCCCATTAGAATGATCTGCCATGAATTTGTCTAATCTGTTTTTGAACCCCTTTTGTATTTTTGTATTCAGAAAATAAATTTTGCAAGTATGAAGAACTGATTTTCTAAGGCATGCATTTTCTTAACACATTTATTTTAGGACATGTTCAAGAACATGTATGCTCTAGCAGGTAGATTGAAACTGAACAGTGCTGTAAAATATGGGCCCCATCTTTCTTCCCATCCTCATGGAATCTTGCCAACCAGTGACTTAAGTGATAGGGAAGAATAGAGTGTTCATTTCACGCTGGTATGAAGTGTTAAGGCATCATGTAGCCCAAGAAATGCCTGTCTAGTGGATGGATGGCTTTCAAGTCCAGTAAAATTATACCTTTTGTATAGTTTTTCTATATTTCGGTTACAGTTCAGATCAGTACCTTGCCTTCTCCTATATGTAGGATAAATACCTATCTCTTGTTAGCTCTTAGCCAGAGAAAGTTATGCAAAAATGATGAAAGCATTTGCGAAAAAGCTTTACGTATCATCCTTGTTTCCCTAAAGTTAATGTCAAACCCTATGTTAACATCTATCAACTAATCATGATTTCACTAAGACCAAGCTTGATATACCATTTGAGGTATGTTTGCATTGCTCTACAGTCAACAGAAAGCGTTATAGGGATAATCTACCCTATTGTGTTTCAAAAGTACATGGTTTCTTAATTCCATTCTTAAAATTCTGTCCATTCCTGAGGGTCAGGAAATTATTTGTGCATACTCAAAAACATTATAGTTGAACGTGGTGTTAAACACATTGTCTGTGTTTTGTATGCAAAAAGTCACTACTCTGAGTCCAGAAACTTCAACTTTTAAGAACAGCTTAGGATCAAGTTGTTTTCTGGTTGAATATCTTTGTCAAAAGAGTAGAGAAATTGATAGCTCAGTACTGATGTAACTGTAGCTGACCAAACTTAACTTTATTAGGATTAAGAATGAATTATTTCAGCTGACAGAGCCTCACAAAATTAAGGTGGAGCTCTAAACCACTTAAAATCAGAATTCCCCCCTTGCGTAGTGTAACAATGCTTATATATGTGGCGAGAAGTAAGAGTAAAGGAAGGAATTCTGAATGCTAGCCTTCAATAACAATTAGGGCAGCATTTTTGTCCATGAAATATATTAATCTCCCATTGTTTCCCTTCGGAAGTAAGGATTATGTGTAACAAAAAGATATAACATATATTTGAATCCTGCCATGTATTTGCTAGGAAGTTTGCCAATTGACCATCCTGACAGCTCCTACAATGAAACCCTACTACTGTGTCTGAGGAAAAAAAGCATAATTCGGCGTCTTCTGATTTCTGGTAGTTAGAAGGTAGTTTTTGCAAGAAAAACGCTGCCTTTCAAATCCAAATATTAATTTGAAAACGTCGTTCTAGTGGAGTGTTTGAGTAATAGGAATTGAAGGACAATTGCCCATTATAGCTGTTCTGATCTTGAAAGTAAATTAGAACATCTCAATATGAGTTAATCACCCAGTATGAATCTTTTGCTTCCAGTATTTCTGCATGTTCTAAATGTCGCAGTCTGCACTGTTCTCTCTTCTTGACTGGATGTCATTTTTGTGCTCGTGACAGAAGCTTGGAGATTAATCATCAGTTTTACTAGTGATAGTGGCTTAGACCCTTTGAATATCAGGAAATAATACAGATATGTTAATGGAGATTCTTAAAATGCCTGAATAAAATAGTTTGTGATGCAGGCTGGCATGTCTGGTACAGTAGTAATTGAGAAAATGTATGCTTTTCACAGAGGTACAGTTTCTTTGGATTGTTTCCTTGATTTGTGCTGAGAAGTACATGGTTTGCATTTAGAAATAGTTATTTAGTATAAAATTTGATCCCAAGTGTTCAAGAATGTGCTGTATTTCTTCCCCAGCTGGAATCATTGCCTTCATACAAAACTGAGTATTTAGTAATGCTAATGGGTTTCACTGTTACACTTTTTAACAGCAGAATGTGTCACTTGCTTAATTTCTTCCCTTGTTTCAAATAGTTGTGGACTGAATTAAGATGTTCCCTTTACATATTACAGAATAACAGTTGACGGACATTGACAAGGAATAGTTATCCTGTTGTTATCTCACTTTTGAAACACTTGAATATATATTTTTTTCTTTCTCTTTTTTTTTTTTTGTCTCATAGCCTTCTTTCTTCAATAACATATTCTCCCAAATCAGAACGTAAAACACCTGAGCCTTTAATACCGGCAGACAGTGATAATGAAAAGGGGGAAAGGAATGGGAAGAAAGTCTGTTTCAGTGTGACAGGTGATGAACAAGAAGATTCTGGTCATGATACCATCAGCAACAGGGATTCTTACAGGTAACTTTGCTAATAATATTTTTATTTGTCAACTGAATCAAACCTGTAGGTTTGTAGACTGTCGAGTGGCTATAAGACTATCGGATTGCAATGATTCTGACATTTCTAACAGAGGAATAACTAGCATCAAGATGTGTTACAAGATGTGTAAAATTAACTCTTTAATGAGTATAGATTAGTTATTAGATCTTGATATCCCTAACCTTTATAGGATATAACAGCCAGAGGTGTAAAGCTTTACTTTAGACTACCTGTCTTATAAAAACCAGAAATAGTTTCTGTCATTATGTTCCTCAACAACAAACCAAATATCTGCCATGGAAAGCAAGATGCCAGAGCCACCACTCTTCCTGATCTGAAGAAAAAAATACCTTTTTCTCAACATATATTCCTCACGTTCTTCTACTCTAAATATTCTGGCGTCATCTCATCTCTAGAATTCATAATGCATCACGTTTACTGTGAATGAATACAAAGAATTTTGAAAAGGTAGGAGTAATTACAGCAAGCATAGGTCTTATAATGATTATCTTCTGTTGCTTAGAGAGAATTCGTTAACTACATGATATAAAATCTAAATTAAAATTTTAGCTGCAAGTAAAATAAGGGTTCATTATTTGTTCATTATCATGGTTCATTATTATGCTCAGAAAGTAGAATCTCAGTAGGGTCATCGTTTTTCTACAGAAGCCTGTGTTGCTGAGATCTCTTTCATAAGCTAATATTTGATTACTGCAGCATGGTAGGTAGGAACTCTTTGTCAAAGTAGAAACAGAAATATATGTATAAATTTGAACAGAAATAAATGTAGAGATAATTTGTACAGATTAAGTCCATCTTGTTCTAACCATGGTGAACAAACAAGGAAAGTTCTGTTCCAGCTGAAGCGCGTTTAGGGATTTCTGCATGTCCACGATGTGTCAAACTGAGTGGCCTGCACTTGCTCCAGTTGAGAAGTTCCCCAGTGGACAGAAGATTTGTATGTGGAGAAAGGAGGTGTGACTTTGGACATAAGTGTCTCTTCATTTAAAATACTGTCTTTATTCTGATTCCAGTCATTTATAGTCCATTCTGACTGTTTAGGAATGATAAAATCTAGGGTTCCATATGCAGAATAATCCTAAAATCTATGAATTTAGAACAGCTGTTGGAGTGAGATTGGAATTTTTTATTCCTTTGCTTAAATAATTACATTAGGCAGTACTTAATCTCCAGATCCCATAATGCTGCTGTGGTTATTATTAGAACTAGTAGGCTAATTTCAGCCATTAGAATGCTCCCATTTTATGTTGTAGGGTCTCATTCTAAACCTTAGAATACAACACAATAAAAATGGAGAATAATACGGCTAGTACATCTAATGTTTCTCATTTTCCAGTGTTTTATTTTCTCATACTTTGCACAATCGAGTTTTAAATAACCTTCATCTTCCCTTTGGAGACTTTAATAAGTGAATAGAGTGAGTTAGAAAACATTTCTTAATATCCAGCCAGAAATTCTTAATTCTCCTTGGGACTGTTCACCCTCTGTTAGGAACATGTTGTTACTGATGTCTTCTCATCTACTTAATGGATATGATTGTAATTATATCCTATTGCTTCATTTAAAAGTTTTCCCCATTCACTTACCTGGTTGGCTACAGGTCCAAAATGTACACCTTAGCCAGGAATTTTAAGTCGGTATGCCAAAACTAGTAAAACTTCACTTTTGTATTTACAAAAATAAAGAAAACAAGTAGGGAGCACATGGGTACATGTGTAACTGCAGCATTATGTATATAAAATATAGATATGTATATCTTGGTGAATGGGTACACCCAATTCATAAAACTAAAACCAGATCATTATACGTAAATATCCTTTAGGTACACTTCTACATTATCTTCTATTCACTGGGGTTTTTAAGACTCCCTCTGCTGGATAATTACTTAAGCATTTCCTGCATTGAAACTAAATGGTCTTCATGTGGCTAAATAACTCTTAAGACTTGGAATTCAAATTTGTCTTCATAGGATTTTTAGTACAAAAGGCTATGTTTTACTCTGCTTATACTGCAGAAGTAGGTATATTCTCCATCTATTTTCTGTGCAGAGCAATTTATTTTTGAGAGCAAAAAGCAAGAAAAGAAATACGCGTTTTAATCCCCGAATCTCCTTACTAGACCGATGTGGGTGACGTTTTGTACGCGTAGAAGTTTGACTGAAGTCACAGATGTAAATGTCTATACATCGGTAACAAAATGAACAACTGGAAGAGATGGGATCATAAACTATGTTGTCGCTGTCGGGGAAGGGAAAAATAGTTTGGAATTTGAGTTTTGGTGCTACTCAAATGGATCAAATCTCTTCTAAACCCATTATGGACTCTACTTTGTAAGTCATAAACCAGAGTATTTCATCATTTGTATTAGCTGTGGACCAGGAGTACAGAATTTAAATGTGGAGTTACTAAAACATTTGAGGCCAGTGTCAAAAACTGTCACTCATGTAAGAAAAGTTGGTTGTTTTGCATTGAAAGTGTATATTATCATTCTGCAAGTACTTGTTCACATGCAAGGTGAAGGGAGAGAATCGAATCATCTATTTTGGGGAATCTGGTCCTCTGAGTCCTACCAGGATTGCAAAATTAAATGATAACCTAAGTATAGGGATCTTTATTGCTGATAAAGAATTGTACAGACCATCTCATCATTAGATTTAAAAGGGGAAAAGGAAAATAATTTCCGTAACTTTGATACAGAGCCTGTGTTAAAGGACATGACTTTATTTGGGTTTTTGTTTTGTTTGTTTGTTTTTTTTTTTTCAAGTGATTGCAACAGCAATAGGAACTCCATTGCCTCATTCACCAGCATTTGTAGCAGTCAGTGCAGTTCCTATTTTCACAGCGATGAAATGGATTCAGGTATGTTTAGAAAAGTCAGCTCTGAATCTGTCATCTGTTCCTTTTATTCAGTTTTATTCTTTTCATTTGCTTGGTAGATGTTTTGTTCTTGTTTCAAAAATTACATCCTCCTAGGTAATAGAAGTGTATCATTTTGCTTCTGCCTAGCTAGTGCTACACTGAAGAGTCCTTCTGTGAAAGAGCCAACGCTCCAGCATCTCTATGAATAGACTGAACTAGTTATAGCTCTTAAAGTCACTGCTTTTAACCACTTTCATGCCTTGACCTTGACAGTATGTTATGTTGCATAGGGTAAGGAGCATTTTAGGTGAGCGTGGAATGCTCTCCCGGCCTGTGTCAGCACTTGGACGGCAGGATATGGCTGTGTATGTTTGTAGGAAGGAATGTGAGACCACATAGAAGCACATTCTTGTTTATGCCATGACAAATTGAATTTAAATAAATGCAGCTGCTAATAGGAATGAGATGGGATTTAACTGCATGGAGTACAAGGTCATGTACTCAGGGACTAATAATAAAAAATATTTGCTCTAAGCTGGGAGTTTATCATTTGGGAATGATTTAGGAAAAGAAAGAACGGGGCATGTTAGTTGAATATGAGCCACCAGTGAGACTTGGCCATAGAGAAGGCAAATTTTATTGTGAGCTGTACGAGGAGAGGTATTTTCAGTTGGGACAGGAAAGTATTAATGATATTATGTGAGATATCTGAGATGCCTTGGCAATAGTGCAATTCTAGGCAGCTACTTCCCAGAAATGACACATGCTTGCAAAGCTGAGCAGATACAGAGGGAAGGATGAAGGACATAAAGAACTCTTAATAAAAGAGCAGCCCCAGGGTCTGTATCTTCAACTTAAGATATAAAGGAGCTGATACACACTTGTGCAGCATCAAGCTGAAGTACCGAGGTGCCTAGAAGAATATGTCTGTGCTAGCCAAGCACAGATAGTGTTCGAGTTGATAAATACTGCTGCTCAGTGAAACTCCCACTCTCCTGATGACTTAATTTTCTCCTCATTCCAAGGCTAACCTGGTTAAATCCAGATCAGAGCTCTTTGGCACCGTGCTTCGTCTGTTGCAATTAAAATCCTGTGAAGGGTTATAACTACTGGCTGTAAGGACATCTAAAGGAGCTAAAAAAAAATCAAGGAGAGAAAAGTGCTATTTATGTGTTTCACTGACATAAGAAAAATGAGCCTAGATTGACCATGAATAAATTTGGATTATAAATTATCAAGTGGCTACTTCTTATCTGTCACTGCAACAGCAAGGAGGAAAACTGGTTTTCAGCTCAATTTTTCACAGCTTTTGAAAGAGTTCAGGTTGCATCACTCGTTGTCTGAGAGAGAGGGTGACTGAGGGCAGTGACCTAGGAGAGTCCTTCTCCTTTGTTCTCTCTTACGAAATGATGTGTTATGTACTACAAAAAGCTTCATACAGGATTCGGATGCTATATTTTTGTTGAATTTCTAAAATCTCAGAACCATTTAATTAGTAAGAACGTTAAGATTGTGAATTGTTGGAGAAGTCCCTATAAAAATTTTATGGTGAATGCATTTCAGTGACTTTGTGGTTTGCTATATTAAATTCACACTACTTAGCCATTTAGTCTGGTGTTTAGGATGTTCTCCAGCATAGAAGAATCGTGTGTTCTGGTCACAGAGTGGTTGAAGTGTGAAGGGGCCTCTTGAGATGATCCAGTCCAATCCCTGGCTCAAGTAGGGTGATCTAGAGCAGGTTGTCCAGGACCACATCCGGTTGGGTTTTGAATATGGTCTGTTCTCCAAGAGCTATTTCTGTGTTACCGAGTGACTACTAAATGCAAAATATGGAGGGAGAACAGTTACTATAATCCTGAGAGCCTAAGCATCAGTCTACGTGCAAAGCACATTATCTAAGCTGCAAAGATTTTGGAAAATATGCTGAGACTTCTAAACAATTTTTCATTTAAAAATATTTTTCAGGCGATGAGCTTCCCATAAGTGTTCGAATCTCCCATGATAAGCAGGACAAGCTCCATAGCTGTTTGGAGCATCTTTTTGGTCAAGTATGAGATTATTTTTCTTGGCTTTGATACTAATGTCCATGTTTGAGCTAAGATGTCTTTAGCAAATACTTCTTTTTCTTTTTACTTTTGCTTTCCACTGTTTACTGGGATGGTATGTATTTACTCATTCTCCTTCAGTTTTCTGTAAATAGTTCAAAACTGTGAATTAAACAGGTCCTTAGATTTAGTCTAACATTCCCTAGCTTGTTACTTTAACTAGAGCCATTAAGTAAGAAAGAATCCAAAGTTACTTTTCTGTAGCGCGTATTTCTTAAAGAAAGAATTTCTGATTGTTGCTGTAAAAAATGTCTTTCTCAACCTTGATCCAAACAGGTTGATTCAATCGTCAATCTTCTGAAAGGACCAGCTGTGATGAGGGCCTTTGAGCAGACAAAATATTTTACACCAGGTCGAGGCCTCCAAGGTAATGTTTAATTCTATCTGTGAGAATCAAAAGGCAGCTTGAAGGGTACATGGATAGGGCTATCTACTCCTTGAGCTGGGTGTTAAAAGAACTAATTTTGCTTAATCTTGGCATATTCTGCAAGAACTGATTTTTGAAATTCTTGTTAAGTAGATCTTAGTCTTCGTTGAAAACTGATTTTTTTTACACTTTTATTGCACAACGTATGAAAGAATTTCAGGTTTATTGGAAAGTCAGCTTTAAATTGTAGACTCGGAACTGACTGTAGAATTACCGACATTTTTGAAGCAAGAAACAGGTTTTGTATCGTGCAGGTGTTCTTATTACATTTTTGTCTCAACTACTGAGGCCATTTCTGATCTGTTTTGTTACTAATGCCAGATTTTTACTATTTTTTGTAGATGTATTATTTGTGAGTTTGATTTATAAATAATTTGCAAATGTAAATTTATAGTCACAGTAATACTTATGCCAAATATATGCTTATATACAAGTATTATTGATTGTTTTAAAAAACTAATTCCTGTATGTGATTTCGGATACTCTGCTAACACTTCCGTAGTTACTTAAGTCTAAGTGTATAAATAGGTATCTGGTGGTAGCCATAAGATTGTGGTGAAAAATGTGAAGGACTTCTTTTTGTGAACTGAGTTTGGTTATTTTTAAAAAAAACCAAAAACAATAAAATGAAACAAAACCAAAAAGCTCAATGGAAGACTGAATGTTGTATCGATATGTATAATAGGTTTGATTATGATTTTATTGATCCTGTATATGTCTTTTGGCAAAGAAAACTTATTTTATATGGCCAGAGGGTGGATCTTTGGCTTTTATAAATCATCAAAATCCCACTGAAGTCAACAGAGTGTAATTACTGTATCCCGATTACCTGGTTTTACAAAGCCTGAAGTACTTCCTCCTCACTGAATTTGCATGGAAGACTGCATAACCTCCTCTTTTTCTTTTTTGTTTTGTGTTCTTTTCTTATTTTGGGACCAAGATAATGGAGATGAACCTAAGGCATTTCTGCTCTCTTGTGTTTCTCAGTGTTTCAGATTGAGTGCCTGGCAGGGTCACACAACAAAATGTTATCCTTTCAGTGGTATAATAAATGTTCAGTGAGACAGAAGATAAGTACATGTCAGATATTTTATTGTTGATCTGCACCGTTGTCATGAACCATACAAGAAGCACTTCAGTGATTTGAGAGATCAACTAGGTTAAGCAATAAGGAATTTTGTTTGAAGTTTAATTTTCTGATTGAATTAATTTTGCCTCTAAAAGTTCCAGGGCCCCACTTACTCTATGGAGACAGGCACCTTCTAACTCATGTACCTGATTCGGAAAGAATCATGTTTGGGAATGCTGCTTACTCTCTCCTTTGACTAAGTAAGGAGCTTAGATGACTGTTAGACCTCTCACCCTAGCTTTAACTGGAGTTAAATAAGTTTACAACTCCTTGAGCTGTGAAAACATTTAGAAAGAAATAATATCTTACTGTGGCTTCCTCAGGAGGTTGAAGCAGAAGAATACTATTTTTGTCCTTGCTTAGAGTTTCAGCAGTAAATGGAACCGAAGCTTAACTGTCCAAAGAGGCTACGACTCCACATCAAGCAAGACCCTTGGAACCTCCCCAGCAGCGTCCGGAGTCTTGCCCAGAATATCAGAAAATTTGTTGAAGGTTAGTAAGAGCAACATGATTATAAATAAACACTTAATTAATGATAGCTTGGGGAAGGGAAGGGGAAAGATACAACTGCTTTATGTTGGCGCTAGGCAAGGTTTGCTGCACACAGTGTAGTCTATGGGAAATGCCTGAACTTCAGGACTTTATCCTTGTTACTAAGAACACAAAAGTGGGGTATATCTCAGCTGTCTCGTGCTCACTCTATTGGTTTCAGATACTGAAGAGAAAATCGTCTCTTCTACAAGTGAAAACAAATGAACCGTATGTTGCATGTGCTATGTTGTTTGAGTTGCTGCAGGGCTTGCCTGATTTGTCACAGAACTTCATGGGACTGATACACTAGAGTGGGGCTTTCCTTTAATTTAAAGTCCTTTTTTTCTACCGTCTTAAATGGAAAGATGAAGATCTGCAGAACAACTTTTGTCCTATATCTTGCTCTTATCTGTCGTTGATCTTGAATCATTACTTTCTAAAATCATGCTCCCTCTTCTGCCATGAAGCCAAACCTCTTCCATTGGTTTTCTCTTAGTCACTCCGTCACAACTGATCCTATCACTCCTCCTCCACCTCCCTCCCACCACTGTCTAAAGGTTACCTGATACTCTGCTCTTCTTCACCACCAAGTGCCAATGGGAGCTGGGGTCTTCTGCTCTCTCACCTGGCTTCATAAGGTGGTAACTGGTATTTCCTCTCCACAAAATCTTGCCTGTAACTTCTGCTTTATTTCCTGTGCTGTTTGATAGAGAAACAGAAATAAGGCACAAAATGTTTTTTTATAAAACTACTTAGACTAATAGTTTATGTGGGAACAAAAACTTATGTCAGATCTAGCTTTAAGTGATTTGTGTATGTGTTTAGCTGCTTTTGTTTTGTTGGCTAATTTCCATGGTGTCCCATAGAGAAAGTGCTAAATTTCAGATCACTGGAAAAGAACTTTGTGATAAGTTTTGTTAAGATAAACCTCCAAAAACCAACTGGCCAAAACAAACAAACTCCTCCTACTCTGACTTTTGGTATTTCTCATTTCAGATGCAATCAGATTTTCAGACCCTGGGTTAGAAAATTATAAAAACAACCACAAAAATATCTCCTAATTTTGGAGTCAATCACAGTGGGTTGACTCTCCAATACTAAGAATACTTCTTTTAGTTCAATGGTTACTGTCACTGTGTGAAAAAATGAATAAATATTTTTGGATCCTTTTTTCTACAGGTCTATCTTCAGTCTAGACTAAATTACATTCAAATATTAATCATGGTTTCTTTCACAGTTCAAGAGGAATGGAAATGTGCCTTTAACAGTCCGTCATTGCCCCTCTCCTGAAACCAAGCCTAACAGACCATTTTCACATAACTTGTTTGCCCATAAATAGAATTAATAGACTTAACCCATTTCAACGTTGGTTATATACCCTCAATATTGAGCTGAAGTTATTCAGATAAATTTGGCTTTAAATCTACCACAAAATTTTGTGGGAGAGTTCAGCAAGGTCCAAATAACTTGCTGCCTCTCTATAGTACATAACTTCTCTTTTTACAATGATACTATAATGTAATAGTGATATTTATCAGAAGGAATCTTGATGTTTACAGAACAGTAAAACTGTTGGCATTTTCTAATATTTTAGAAATTAGGATTTAAAAGGTTTTCTCCATTAATAAATTATAGTAACTAACTTTATTGCAGCTGTCATGCTTGTGAATGGTATGTGGTTCAGAGCGCTAAATAGTAAAAGGCATTATTCTTGTGCTGTTCAAGGAGAGCACACACTCTGCCTTACCTTCTCTCATCACTATGTGTCAGAAGTTATCTGCAATTTTAAATATTCTTGGCTCTCCATTTCCATCCACGGCATCTGAGCTTTTGTCAGAGATTTCCAACAACTGGTTTCTGTGCCATCATCTTAACCAAATACGTGAGTTTACATGTAAAATTATTGTCTTAGGTTGTTTATTCACCATCAGTCTTTACATCTTTCTATTTTTCTTTCATTCCTATTCCGCCACCACCATGCCTCAAACTGGTATCACTAATACTTGTTCCTGAGAAGTACTTTGGAGAATCATGATCCGCATCTTTGTCATAATTTGGATTTCCCTGTGGGACCAAGGGTTGGTGTGATGTAATGAATACCTGAAAGCCTAGGTTCTTGTGGCTTCCCTGACACAAATAGCATGAAGGAGAAATAGGAGAATGGAGAGAAAGCTAGGGAGGGACTTTTTGCAAGGGTACGTAGTGATAGGACAAGGGGCGATGGCTTTAAACTGGAAGAGGGAAGATTTAGATTAGATATGAGGAAGAAATTCTTCACTGTGAGTGTGGTGAGGCCCTGGCACAGGTTGCCCAGAGAAGCTGTGGCTGCCCCATCCCTGGAAGTGTTGAAGGCCAGGCTGGATGGGGCTTTGAGCAACCTGGTGTGGTGGGAGGTGTCTGTGCCCATGGCAGGGGGGTTGGAACTAGATGATCTTTAATGTCCCTTCCCACCAAACCATTCTGTGATTCTATGAATTGCTTCTCAGTTTCCAAGGTATGTCTGGATAGGTATATGTAACTCAGTGTTGAAAAGATTCAGGGCAGAAATGTGTCCCTCAGGCAATTTTGGGAGACTGCTGTGATTTAGACAGGCTTAGGCCTATATAAATTAAACTTGAGACCCAACTAGCAGCTGGATCTAACTGGAATCAGATGAGCATGAAGAAGGGTTAAAAATGCTTTAGCAGCTAAATTTTCCCTTCATACCTTCATTTCTTGTTTTCTCGTTTCCAATTTTGCCATTATACATTGTGTTCACAGATGGTCAGGATGCCTAGAAGAACCACTAGTACTGCCCTGAGCTATTTCTGGCTGAAAACCTAACACGTGGTACAGAGATTTACCTCCCCGTTTTCCCTCTTATATGCCTGATTCAGAAAAAACGAAAGGTGTCCCCTAATTTGACTGCTTAGTTGGGCTTATGAGAACAAGTTGAACAGTTTTGAGATTTTAGAAGAATCTTCATGTTTGTTTATTAGTAAAAGGCAGTGTTTTAATAGTTGAGGAGAGCAGATATATTTGTCTCCTCCAGCAGTTTCTAGAGGAAGTAGTCAAAGGAGACCACAGGTACAACTTTGTTCACTATGGGGAAAAAAATTGTTGTAATTAAAACCTCCAGTTGTTATAAACATACTTAACCATGACTGATGAATGCTTTCAGTAAATGCTTCTCCTTACTGAAAACTGACTAATTTTTATTTTTATAAAAATGTCACAGGATACTGTGATTTTATTTTTTTTTTTTAACTTATTGTTCTGTTGCATTGTAGAATGTGTTGTATTAGATGAGACTGATTAGTGTTTTAAAGCGGGAGGAGACATGGGAGCCCCACAAAAATGGGACATTTTAAGTCCTAGATCTTAGGATTCTTTTTATTTACTGTGTTGAATAAATATGAAGACGTGGGAAGACTCAGAATGCCTTGAGGATGATCGTTCTGGTCTGTCAGTTTTCTTTTTATTAGTATTGGAATTGGGAGAACAATTTTTTAAAAAAATTATGAAGGTTTGCACAGATTTAAAAAGAAAAAACCAAGCAAACCTTCCTTGACAGTAAATTTAAAACATGTGTGGAGATTGCTTTGTCTCATTTCATTTGTCCTACCATATCATTAGAAAAATAAAAGTTTTCTATGGTTGCAGTAAAAGGCAGCCCTAGAAGGCTAATCAAGTTGATAGAATTGAAGAGTTCTCTGAAATAGTGTATGGATTCTAGGAGGATTATTCTGGAGCTAAGTAACTAAAGAAAAGATGAAAGTTATTTCTTGGAGTGACTGGGCCTACTAAATTGTTAAACCGATAAAAATAAAGTTGTTAGCACAGGCAGATCTTTGAAAATGGAGTGCTTAATTTTGATGTAGGAGAGAGCAGTAGTCAGGGCAGGAATTTACCCGTCATTGAATAGAGAAAGAATGATGTAGGTACAGGATTCTGGCTGTATGTGTGATGTATCACATGACAATCGGAAAGCACGAGAAGAAAAGCTGAGGAATGACTTGAGTAGGAACCAGGAAAATCAATAAGGTGGATGGAAAGAAAGGGACCCTTCAGAAGGAAAGTAAAACCAAAACGGGCCAGCATAACAACAGAAAGGTGTAAAGAGAGCAAAGAGGAAGAGAAATTTCTGTAGTTGTTTTTTCCTAAAGAAAAAAAAGGTAAGATTTTTGATGAAAAGAAAAGGTGTTTTAGAGCAAGTCAGATTTCTAGTCAGCTGGTCACATAACTGCATGAGGAGGTGCAGGTGTTTTGCTAGCACAATAATTTTAAGTTTAAACAGGAAATACTATGCAATTGAGAAAGTTCACATCTATTTTGAATTAAGAGTGAGGAGTAAAGGAGTCTTTCAGTCATTAGAGGTATAAACAATGTATATCAACTTCAATCATAAAACATGCAGTGCACATCTCAGTCTTACTTCAAAACTGTTCTCAGATGTGAAACAAAATAAAACTAAAATCTAGTCTTTACTGGCAAAGACCAAAATAGCAGAATAGCATGATTAAAAACCCCAAAAGTACAAAAGAATGTTTAAGAATAAAAGAAGTTGAAGGCATCTTGCATTACAAATCATAGAATCTAAAGAGAAATTGCTAGGGAGTTACTCTTTTCCATATGCCATGTAGCGAGAAGGGCTGAAAACTTCCATAGCATTTGGAATTTGTTGAAGAGCAAATGGTTGACATCCAAGGTTCACTTCTAACCCCGAGTAAGTCTCTACTTACACAAATAACCTAAAAATACTCTCTTGCCTGTGGGTATATTTTGAAACGGAGAAGACTTACAGCAATGATAAAGGAGAGTTGCAGTGTCCTGTAATTTTCCCATAAGCAGGAAATCATTATTTATAGATACCTCAAGTGCTTTTGAATTCAGAGATCCAGCAAATCTCATATAAAACAAGCTTCAAGTAGTAGCCTCAGTGTATCTAAATTCTTCAGATAAAAGCTGTGTTTCCCTGTAATGTATTTTCAGTTACTAAGCTATATTCAGACTCCAAGATGCCAAGTCAGTAATCTCTAAGTTTTTTTTCAAAAGACAGAAGCTAAGGCGAAGACCTATCACTACTCAATTTTCAAGAATAACCAGTAATTTTGAGTGTTTTGATGCTTGTATTTGAAATATCATGGGCATGAATTTCAGAAGGATAGGCACTGCTAGTTCTTTTCGCCGTGTGTGTACAGCATGGATGAAGATCAGGCTTGAAAGGTTTTCTTCTTTTTTAAGAAGTTTTTTTAGAAGTTTTTTAAATTACCTTTGGGGAAGATTCTGGCTTTTTGTAGATATGTTCAAGTACACGCAGAATTCAGACTGTGCTGTTGATACAGTCAACTCCAATGTCAGTTCCGTCATCTGTGTGGCATTCAAATTTCAAATTATTCAAGTTTCAAACCTATTAGGTTAGTTTTAGTAGGAGACAACATATTCCCAAATTGTCCTATTGTCCATGTACTCCGTAGCAGCTCTGCTGACCGACTGAATGGGGCTTGGAATAGGACTGTGCAGAAATATGAGTGCATGAAAGTTTGGAAAAATGCGAAAGCATGTGATCTACAGGCAGTTGCTGTAGGACATTTGATGTGCTGGGAGTTTGACACTCTCTAAGGTTATGGCAGCTTTTTAATCTGCTTTTTCCTTGCAGTGGTGGTTAACACACGTACGTTTGTGCTCTGTTACGTGTTAGAGGGGAAGGATCGCTTCCTTCAGCCTGCAAACCACTCCCCCTCAAAAAAAAAAAAAAAAGGGAGGGGAAAAAAAAAACACCCCCACCACAACAAACAACAAAACAAAACAAACAAAAACCAAAAAAACCCACAAACCACATCAGTGTAAAGAGATATAAACCCAAATTTTTGTCAGTGTAAATTAAGACTTTTTTTTAATCTGTACTTTTTTACTTCATAGATTGTTAAGTGAAAAGAAATGTTTGAAGCAAAATAAAATCCTGCAGGCTGAGAATAAAGTGAAGATGCTGTTGTATTTTTCCTGGTTGCTTTGGTATACGTTAAAATGAGGGTAATTTGAGATTTTTCAGTATGGAATGAGAGAGGGAAAAGAAAAAAGAAAGAATTGGGGTAGTGTGGCAATCGGTGAAAATTGGTCTTGTTTTTGGAAGTTTTAAGACTGGAATTCTTCATATGTGGACGTGCACTGGCCAGCTGGTACACGTGTGCTCTGAGATGGCAGCTACCACTTCATGTGTCCTTCTTGGTGTTGGTGCTTTTGATTATTATTGATTTTATCAAGTCATATGTGAAATTACCTGAAGTTGAGACTCATTACTGTTCTGTAGGTATAAATGAGGATTGCCTACACAAGAAATAGGAGTTAAGCTGGTATAAAATGAGAAACTGCAAATGCATTATTGTATTGGTGAAAAGACTTTTAACCATGCCCTCAATATATTTTCTTTTTTCTTTAAGAGGTGAAGGCACGAATACTCTTGGCACTTCTTGAGTATACAGGTAATTTTGCTTGTTTGGGGAGTGGGGAAGTGAACATAGATGGTTGAGTGTTGTGGTTTTTTTTGTTGTTGTTGGTTTGGGTTTTTTTTTTTGCTTTTGGACAGAGTACTGTGTTTAGGGAAAGGGGAAAAACCTCAGATATGATAATCTGAAGGTCAGCAACTTTATCCCTGTGTTTACAGTGAGGATTCCTGAAGAACACAATGATTCCAAGGGCATTTCTAACAAACATTGCACTTTTTTTTTTTTTGATGCAAAATACCTTCTTTGGTCATTTACTTTGGATCTTGGCAGATGAAGTAACTACTAAATCACTGAATTTGTGCACAGTACTTCTGCTGTCTTTCTTCTTTGGGGCTTTTTCCTATTTACTGTCTTTTTTCTTTTCTCTTCCTTCCCATCTATTTCCAGACTTACCTTACTATTCTAACACATACTTTTCCTTTTATCTTTTTTTAGAGAATATCTTTTTCTAAGTCCCTCCTTTTTGGAAGGGGTCTGATTATTCTTTGTATTATTCTGCCATTACCCCACACAGCTTCAAATACACAAAATAGGCATGTGTGTCTGCAAAATAAATGTCAATAATTCAGTATTTAGAAAATAATACTTATGGCAGAAGATTCTCTAGTTTGTAAGTGCTAAGTGTTCAAGTAAGCAGTCACATTTGACTGTAAAAGCTGATTATTTTAACCATCTTGCAGCACTATATGAATACGTTATTATTTTATGATTTTGTTACAACACATAACAGCAGTTTTGTAAAGGGGAATGTAACATTTCTTTGTTGTTAGGTTTCTTCCAAATATTATAAAAGTTTTTAGTAATTCCTCAGGTGTTTTAGAATAGGAAGTGACCTGAGAAAATACCCCAGGCTGGATTTTTTTAAAGCAGTTTCCCCTATTTACATGGTTTTATAAGTTCATACATTCTATAATTTATTTTGTATAATTTTTTTTTTTGTAAAAAGAGCCCGAAGTGCTCTTACGTGCAGTATCTGATGTACAAGTAGTTTTAAATGAGATTTGGAAATGAGGTGTTGGAAACACAAGGGGGCTGCTTAGAAGCAGGCGGTACAGAGGAAGGCACTGAAAGTCAGCTGCAGTTAGACAAACAGAGATAAAATCGAGCAAAGCAAGGAGAGAGAATGTGTCTTGGGCTCAAATCCCTGAGCGCTGCTGTGACACTGGAAAATTTTTTGACTGCAGAGAAGCCGGTGGGATTTTTGGAAGCTGGAGATGGGCAGAGTTTTTAAAGATGAAAATTTTGTCTGTACTGGATTCTGCACAACTTGAGAGACTAGAGAGAGAGAGAGAGGTTAATTTTAATGATCAAAACAAAAAGCAAAGAGTCGCAGTGCAGAAGCAGTAGTGATTAGACCATGTATAGAAGACATTCCGGAGGTCCTGAGAGGCTGGCAAATGAAATAAAAATGATAGTAAAAGAGTGTTCACTATTATCAATAGTCAAGGAAAAGATTGAAGAACATCTCGGGAGGAATACAGACAGAATGGAGTTACTTTGAGAAATACTTGAAGTCCAAGAAAAGCGTATTTTTGAAGTCAGTATTAATTTTGTGAGTACAGAATTATATCTGCTGACTTACTCAGTTAGCTGATCAAGTCTTGCCAGCTCCATGGAGAAGGTGGAAAAGGAGCTAAGCCTCTTAGAGGCAGAGGAATCTAAAAGTGGGGACAAAGATTTTAGGCTTTGGAAAGAGCTCGATATCACCTGATCTTCTTTTGCTCTGAAAAAGCTTAAGTCTACCTGTACCATTTGTGATTGATGTTTGCCTAACAGCTCATAATGATAAAAATACTTGAAGACCTTCAGAAAAGAGAAGAAGGAAGCACTGAATATTTATCACCACAATTTTGTGCTCTATTGAGAGCATGTTTCCCTTTCTAACTGTTTTGACCTTTAGCTAATCTAATGCCTGTGCCCTCTAGAATAAATTGGTAGGTTAGCTAGTCTCTAATTTAAATCAGCTGCTAATGATTCCATAGACTTCTACCTAGGGACCTGTCCTGGACTTCCCTAACACCGTAAATCTCTGCTGCTTCCTGGATATGTGATACTGCTGTCTGCTTATTTTATAGATTTCGTATTCATATATATATATTGTGTTTGGATAGGTTGTGCTCTGGTAGCAACACTCCTATATGCCCTGTCTGCCCATAACAGCAGGCAGCCTTCATCTGCCCTGCCCAGCTGGTAGCTGTGGAGTTGACCAGATGATGCAGTCATTAAGAGCTTCTGACTCTCCTTGCTTTCTTGTGGAAAGTAACTGGTTTTGTGCCCAGCTGGTTCTCGCATTGCAGCAAAGAGACCTGACTCGCATCCGTCACCTTATAACATCAAAAGTACATAGAATTGATGGCACGTACATTAAAATCTACAAGATAAACAGACATTGTTTATGAAGAACTACTTTAAATTCCAGATTTTAAATCTATTTCTATCTAATTTTAGAATTTTAAAATAATGTTTTAATGTGGAAAATGGCGGTTTTGGTGTGGAGTGCTATTTACTGGCAATAAGTTAAGTGGTAAACTTGTAATTGACTTTACATTAAAACAACTTGGTTTTTAGACAAAGAAAAAAATTCCAGCCCTGTTCCTTTGATGTTAATTAATCTTTGGCTCCATTTTTGCTTTTCCTCTTCTGGCTTTTACCCCTCACAGACAGCGAGATACAGCTAAGGCGAGACATGGTCTTCTGTCAGAGCCTGGTGGCCACAGTCTGTGCTTTTTCAGAGCAACTAATGGTGGCCTTAAATCAGATGTTTGACAACAACAAAGAGTATGAGATGGAGACGCTGGAGGCCAGCAGAAGGTGGTTGGAACAGATAGCCAGTGCGGGGCTTCTCCTTCATTTCCAATCCCTGCTCTCGCCTAACCTGGTAAGACTCCTCATGTGGCATGCTTGATCACAGCCCGTGTTTGTTCCCTCAACCAGGGGCACAGTTAAACAGTCTTAGTTACAAATGTGATTTTCTGTGTCCTTTGTGCTTAGCTTGTTACTTAATTAGCTACTATTTGGAAAATTTGCGATTTAGATAATTACAGATACGGGAAATGTTTGTTTGTGATATGGCAAATATGTTTTGCACAAAGACAGTATTATGTTTCACGGAATCACAGAATCGATTTGGTTGGAAGAGACCTCTGGGATCATCTGTAGTAGTTGAAGGACTAGACATGCTAGTCTGTTTTACTCCCTTCATAGGGCAACTCCACATAGCCTGTCAGGGTAATTGGAAATCTGCTGTTTCTTCGCAAGGCTTGATAAAGAGCCATGGCTTAAGACACAATTAAAAAAGGGATATGGCTTTGTAGTTATCTAATCCCCGGTTATCCAAAGTGCTTCTTCAGCTATTTAAGCTGCTTCTCAGACTAGACTGGTTCCTGCTAACCTGAAGAACTGTGAAGCAGTCTGCGCAATCTGCTCCACGGCAGTCTTTGCAACCTCTGGAGTTGCTCACTGAAAAGAACTGATTTGGTACATCCTTCTGTATAAAAGTCCACACAAATAACACACCATGTTCCTGGTATCAAAGGTCTTCTTTCCTTGCCTGATCTATCTCAGCGGCAAATTGCTGACAAGTTGACCTGCTCAATTTTAGAAGCAGAAGAGATCAGTAAAAATAAAGGTATTTCTAAATCACAGACAGAAAGTATTAGTTTATGGTATTGTTGGAGAGCATTGACTTGAGCTAGTGTGAGCGACTACCTCACAGGTAGTTGAGGTACCTACGTGGGCTTGTGTGGGACAGGGTATGTCAGGGTGAGGTCTCAACTTAAAAACAGATAAAGTCAGTGCCCGAGAGAAACAGGAGGGCTCTTTATCCACGTGAGGAGTATGTGAAGAAAGCATAGTCGAGGGAGCTCGGGCTCATGTCTTGAGTCCTGGGTGCTTTTTAGTACCATGCAGCACCAACATGTCCTGGTGCTGGAATCCTCAGCCTTCAAGAGTAAATTCAATTAGTGCCTGTCTTGTGTTTTCCCTTGTGCTTAGTTGTCATGTTATCACAAAATAACTGTTGTCTTTGCAGCACTGAATCCTTCTGTTTTTTCTTTCAAAATTAGCAATTTCCTTCGTAGTGAAAATGCATGCTAGTTTGCTTTTTTCATGTAATCAGATACCGGCAGCATGCACAGTCAAATTGAAAATAAAATCAACTTTAGTGTCTTCTGTCTAACTGTTCTTAACCAAGGGATAAGTATTTAAAGGCAACTTTTTCAATACCTTCTCAGCACTATTTTGCTTACAAATGATCCGTGTTATTTTAAACAAGGGTATTTGAAGGAAATTACGCTCATTATGGCCAGAGTTCAGTAAAGAATGAGCAGTTGTGGAAGGATTTCCCATGTCACTGAATGATTTTCAGACTATTCTGCTGATAAAACTGCTGTGTCCATAGAGACTTCATAAATGGAACCAGGAGACAAAAGATTCCTAGCAGCTTTATTTTTTCATAAATACAAGGGAGAATGCTATTTGACTATATAGATCAGGGAAAATCATGTTTGTTTTCCTTTCTATAATTCACTAAGCTATAGTTTATTCTCATTTTATAGGCAGCTAGTTTATTATTCTTTACCTTTCTACTGTTTCAGTTCTTAGAGTAGGAGGCATGCTTCCCTCAGATTTCCTTTTGGCTTTTGCTGACTGAAGGTGATAGGGAAGGGTTGTATGAAGAATAGAATTACTTTAAGTGATTATTGATTTCTGCTAGAATTGCTCTGCATATTTAATTCAAGATAACCATACTTGTAGATGACTTTTTTCCTTTTTAAAGGTTTAGTAAAGTGTCCTGAGAAGTTAGTAATTTACTTTCTGGAGCTTTTTTGGTAAATTAGCCTGGATCTCTTTATCTCAGGAGTACACAGAGTGAGCTGCAGGTGCAAATCAGATTATTGGCATATCTACATACTTGATTTGCATCTAGAGGTTTGTAGGTGAAGGTGTGAATCACCCTGAGCTGTGCTCTTTCTGACCTACTGGTTCAATTATTGGTGCTTAGAGTGGACATGATGAACTGTCATCTGATGTTTATAAATGAAATTATAAAGTTATGGCATTTTTTTAAAGAAAATTGCTAAAAAGAAGAATTTATTTTTCACATTTCCCCTCTGTTAATTTACAAGCTAGACCTGATGTCAAAATAAGCTATTGAAGTCTGGTATCTTACATAAAGATTAAGTACAGTATTGTTTGATTAAAAGCCATTAGAAGTAATGATTGCTATAAATTACCTATTAATTTACTATGTGAAACGATAACATTAATTTTAATAATCTTGGACTAGTAATAAGAGGGAAAGTGCCAATAGAAACGAAGATATTTACATTATCTTGGAGTTAATTAGGTTGTACACTGCATCAATGAAATGTTGTGCAACATTCTGTAGTTACTTTTATGTCCTGCTCTTGTATTATTTCTGGTAGAGAAAACATCTGGCTGAAATGACCATTTCACTTTTTCTTTTGCCTTTTTTAGGCTGATGAGCAAGCCATGCTAGAAGATACATTGGTTGCACTGTTTGACTTGGAAAAAGTTACTTTTTACTTCAGACAATCAGAGCCAGAACCACTAGTTGCGAGTGAGTAATTAATATCTGGGCTTTACTGTTCAGAAACATCTTCTGTATTTGTAACATTTTTATCTCCTAGAACATTACCTCCCACAGGGAATATTATATAATTTAGGATTACGGAAAATTAATAGATCTTGTAGCTCTCCTAATATTCCTAGATTTCCTGAAATACAGCTAACATCAGTGACAAAGCAGAATCATTATCTGGCAACATCGATAACCTTGGGGGCAAAACTGTTTGCTTAACTGGATTTTCTATTGGGAGTATGTCACTGCATCAGGAAAGTCGCTGGAATATCTAGTTGTTATTGAAGAGTCATGTGTAAAATAAGCTTGAAGGTCTTAATGGAGAAATGCAGCTGAGATGAGATGGAGAAGCATAAAACTCATTGCATTTTATCGTCTGAAAGACAAAGTAGATCTTGGAAGAGTTCCTTGAAAGGAGACGGCAAACACTATGAGGATAGCTTTAAATTGTGCAAGAAGCTTCCTCTGAGACCTGCTGATGGAGACGATCAGGGTCCTGATCCCTTCCTCCCAACACTTGCCCCCTCACGGGAAGAGACTGTCTTTGCAGTCTGCGGTTTATACCCTTCACTCATTTTCAGCCACTCCTTTATTAATATGTTTTCAGCCGGTGGAGATTTCCCTGCAGTGAACTTTGTTTAGTGAGCAAAAAGCCTTCATTTTTTCCTAAGTCTCATAACTCCCCTGGGAAGGGAGGAAAGCATGTCTGCTTCACATCAAGCTTTTCTAAAACAATTCCCTTGCTGGATCGAGACCACACATGAGAGAACTTCTGCAATAACCAAAACCAGAAGACAGAAAGCTCCTCCACAAAACTGCCTGTGCTCAGAAGAATTCAGTAGCACGGGGCTGGTAGTCAGGTAGGAATTAGCCTGTATAAAACCGTATTTATTTCTGTATAATTCAAGTAAGGACCCTGTTCAGAGTGTGTCTTTTAAAAAGCAGCCCTGCCAAGCCGGGTAACAACATAGAACCAGAGTTACAGGAAGGCCTCCTGATAGGGAGTTAGCCCTGCGCCATGAGCTGCTCATATTGCTGTATCTTCCAACTGAGGTGTCTGTGCTAAACCAGAGATAAACGGGAAGTCTGTGTGTTCTAGGATTGTAATAAACTCTGTATTTCCTTTTGGTTTAAGTGCTGCCACCGCAGTTATCCTGGCTGTGGTTACGGAAGACGAGGAACTGGCAAATTTTGGTTTTTCCATTTATGATTCTGCATAATCAGTAGAAGGGAAAAAAAGTCTTTCTCTTATTACCGAAAACAGTGAAAAATGCTCCTTTGGAATATTTTCCATTTAGGTACAAAATAATTTATGCACACAGTATAAAAACTACACAGTAGTAGTATTAATGCAAATCACTAAATTTTATCGTTACTGCTTTTAACTTGAGACTTACGTATGGAAAAGATACTTAAACAGGAAATACATACAAAGCTTAAATGGAATTAAGCTGACTTCCTCAGAGATTTAGCTAAATGGAAAATTTAGTCAACTTTTGCAAATGATCATTACATGTTGATGATCTGGCATAATACAGACAATGTATGTTGGGGAATCACCGTAACTGCAAAATTACACTGCGAGTTGCCCTGAACACTACACCAATTGATGTATTATGACTTTTAGCTTGTCAAAGTGTAATGAAATATACTCTTACAGTTTTATATGTTGTACCATAATACATTTATTTTCTCAGTTGAGTCCTGATTTTTTAATAATAATTTAATGAATACTCTGGTAGCTACTGCATATTTACTTGTGTTCTGTCCCACACAAATCTGAGGAGAATCTGACTGTATATATCATGCTGACCTTATACATCGTGCACCTGAGGAAGGCACGTGAAATATGGCTAAAGATATTCTTCCAGTGATTTCAAACTGTGTGCTGTACGTAGATGTTTCCTCAGATTTACAGGGAATACAAGTAGGATGTTGCCAACTACATTATTTGCTTAATATTTTTGCTGTCGTTTGACAGGCTGGCAAAGATGATAGTCACTGCTTTTCTGTTTATCTGCTTCCTGATAATGGATAGGACAAAAGTGACCACAGCAACACTGAGTATAATGTAAAATTCTGCACGTATTAGTTTTCTGTCTGCAGTGGTTTTTATCTAACCATATGAATTTTGGGTACATCAGTTTCTGGAAAAGGACGTGTCATTGCTTTTAATGAAATGGTAACACCGACTGTATTCTTAGATGTACCGATCACATACCAAGCAGAAGGAAGCCGGCAAACCCTGAAGGTTTACTTCTACCTTGATAGTTACCATTTTGAACAGCTTCCTCAAAGGCTGAAGAATGGAGGGGGATTTAAAATCCACCCAGTACTTTTTTCACAAGGTAACTAGAGTTTGAATTTATTTTTTTTCCTCCCCAATTCTTTGACATAATATTTAGTACTCTTTAAAACGCTACTTATTCACTCTGATTTAAATCCTTTGTAACTATAAGGGCACAATGCTTTTATTTAAATGTGTTGTTTAATGTGGGCATTTATTGAGAACTTTGAATGAAAATGTGTATTTAAGAAATGTGATTTGTGATAGAAAAATAGAGGCGTGGGTATGCATTTCTAAGTTTCTACCCGTTACACGATTCCGACACCAAAGAATGAGTCATCAATATTGTTTTGCTCTTTTTAGACATTAATGAACAATACTCAGACCGTGAAACTTGCTTTTAAAAGTGTTTTGCATTCCAAATGCTATCATCATCTTTTCCTGTTACTTCAAATTTAAGGACTAAATTGTTATCCCCTGAGAATTCTGTCTCTTTAAAACATTATGAAGACTTAAATAACATTTCCAGGCTTTTGTAGTTATGACACTGCAAACATTCCCGAAGTGATGAATGATGGTGCTGATGCTCAGACTGTTCCTAAATTGCAGGCAGGCTGCATTAGCTGCAGTGGCATTACATGGAGTTTGATTCCCTGAAATGGTGAATGCGAGATGCTGATTGCCCTGAGCCGCCTTTGATTGCAAAGGGAGCTGAAAGTACTCCGTACCTTGTGAAAAGCTGCCAGGGTCTATGTGGAATAGGCAGAAGTCAGGCATACAAATGAGGGTTTTGAGGAGGGTTTGGTCTCTGATGGATAAGGAGGATATAAAAGGAAGTAGCAAACAGTAAGATACGTGAAGCAATAGCTGAACTTACTCTAAACTTAAAACGCATAATTTTTTAAAAATAAGATCCCTGGAGTCTGTTTTGTTTTTGTTTTTTTTTAAACTAATAAAGACAGATTACAGTGGATTTCTTTTGAACAGATTGATTTCAATCATAGGGGGAAATGAGAACACTGAGCAGGAGACACATTTCAGTAGAGCAGACAAAATGGCACATGAAGGAGAACAGAAAATACCTTGGTTCAGATGAAAACCTGGAAATACTATTTATTTTAGATTTGAGAGGGGATTCAGTGTGCTACAGAATTTATTTTGCAGAATTTTTTCCCTTTCTGTTTCCAGAAGCTCAAAATGTTTGCATATTAGGATAAGCATCTTTGTAGTCAACTAAAGGAAAAGGGCAAAGGTACCACTGGAATCATTATCTGCTTAATAATTTTCAGTAATATAGAAGATTTCTTCTTTCTTTATTATACCAAATTTCTTTAATGTTCAAGCATCCCCCTCCAAAATAGTAAATTACACTCCAAGAATAAGAAGTCCTGGATAAGAAGTTTAATCCTGGTGTTTAAATCATTATTTTGAGATATTTTTTTTTTCCTCATTGAGTGAATTGGGATTCTATTTTTACTTCCTTCCTATCAGGTTTGGCTGAACTGCCATCAAACTAACTTGGTAGATCCCCATCTTTAACTGAAATTTATTAGCCACAAATGTAGAAATCTTCTGTAAGTTCCTCTGTGAAGTGAATTCTTGCTTCCCAAGCTTGACAGAGCGAAGCTGTTTCCTACCTAAAATACAGTGGTTTATGATGGTTTCAAATAGAGCATTTAGAAAACCATGTTTTTGGAATATTTGATCAAAGGCACAAATCAGTGCACATCAGTCTATTTATCTCTGTGTTGCTCATTCTGTGTTGCGTAGCTCCGTGCCTAAAATTACAAATCTATATATTGGTGGGATTGGCGCTGTAGACGTTTTAAGAAGTTTTGAAATGTTTACCCAGGCCATATTATGTATCCCTCCACTTGTAAAAACAGTTTTGGGCAACCATATACGTAAGTGTATACATTCAAAAGGATCCCAATTTGCAGAATTGGGATCCGAGAATGTTGAGATACTGCTCTTGGCATTCAGGTTTCTTATTTCCTATGTTAGAATCAAGATCTCAGCAATAAATAAGCTTAATTAAAAGACCCTTTATTTAAAATTGCTACCTAGTCTCTTAAATATAGGGTTTTAAATTTTTTTTCAGTTTTTCATAGAATTCTAGAATAATTCAGATTGGAAGGGACCTCAAGAGGTCTCTAGTCCAACCTCCTGCTCATAGCAGCATCAGCGGACGTCAGACCAGGTTGCTTGGGTGTTTATCAAGTAGGATCTTGAAAACACCCAAGGACAGAAACTGCACAACCTCTTGGGTAACCTATTCCTCTACTTGACTGCCGTAATGGTGAAAAAGTGTTTTCTTTCTGTTGAGTTGAAGCATCTCTTGTTTCAATTTATGTCCATTGCCTCTTGGCCTACCAGCATGCACCATTGTGAAGAGCCTGGCCCTGTCTTCTCATTCACCTCCTGGTAGCTAATGTCACCGGGCTAGTAGGTCTCCCCAAAACCATCACTTGTACAAGCTGAACAAGCTCAGATCCCTCAGCCTCTCTTCACAGAGCATCTGCTCCGCCCCATGACCATCTTGGTGGCCCTCTACTCAACTCTTTCCAGTTGATCAACAGCTTTCGGGGCCCAAAATTAGACACAGTATTCAAGATGCTATCTAATGAGCTTTGAGTAAAGTGAGGACAAGCACTTTTTTCGATGTACTGGCCATGCTTATGTTAATACAGTTTAGGATGCTCTTGGCCTTCTTGGTTGCCAGAGAGCACCGGCGGCTCATGTTTAGCTTGCTGTCTAACATGACCCCGAGGTCTTTCTCAGCAGAGCTGCTCTTTAGGCTCTACCTTCCCAGGCGCAGGACTGGACATTTGTCCTTGTTCGGTTTCACAAGGTTCCTGGTGGCCCATTCTTCCAGCCTCTCTAGGTCCTTCTCTAGGTGACCCTGCACTTGAGTATATCCATTGCTTCTCCCAATTAGTTGCAAACTTGACTTACCTCCTCCAAGTCAGTGGTGAAGATGTTGAACAGTATAGATCCCTGTGGAATTCTGTTGTAAAGGGCCCCTTGGTAGACCATGTCTCATTAGCTACCACCCTTTGAGCCTACCCATCCTTCCAGGTTTTTTTCCCCATTCTGTGCATTCAGACCATAATATCCTATGGTATTCTTGACTCCAAGTTAGAAGACATGTTTGTAAGGAAAGCTTCCTTACAAAAGAGCTTTCTGATATATTAGGTAGAAAAATGTTAAACCCTTCAAAAAGGGGAGAGCCAAAGCACACACTGTGGGGTTCCCTGCCAGCACCCGTGGCCGTGGCCCCTGCAGTGCCAGTAGAGGCAGAACTGTGTGCTCGAGCCAGTCGACAGATGACTGAGTTTGCCGGTTGGGTAATCTAATTGGGTAAAACCAGCTTTATGCCAGTAAAATAAGCAGTACAGATTATCAGCTCCGTCTGCACTAACATGCTCTTATAAATGGAGTTCAGCGGATATTTTTGCAGGGGCTTTCTGGTGTGACTTAGCACCAAGGAAATTAAGAAGCAAGTCTGACTGTTGGAATTTAATTTTTTTTGCAGAGAAGTAGAATTACAAACTCTGAAAGCACAGAAGGGGAGTGCAATTTGCATGTTCTTTCACAATGAATGAATTATTTATTAACTGGTCATATTAAGCAGTACAAGCAGAATTAATATTCTGTGTGCAGCTGAAGCTGTAAGATGGCAGCGTGTTTCCATCAGAACTCTGCCTATTGCTTGCATTTTCTGATAGAGTGATGAATTCTTAGAATGTGTATGGATTATTAAAGTGGCAATGTTCCTCATTGTAAAATCTTAAATGCTTCTCCCCCAAAAAACTATTTCACCAAGAGCTTGTGGCTTACGTTATAATAAGGTTAACCTTTTAATATTAAGATCATGATTTTTCCAGTCCAAATTTTCTTGAGAACCTTTCAAGCGCTTGATTTGACTTGGCTAAAGAAAAGGTTAAACTTCCCTGAGTATCTAAATTAAAGGGCAGGAGGAGGAATGTTGTGGGTTTTTTTTCTTTCTTTTTTTTTTGAAAACTATTGCTAGGAAGAGCATCCTAAAATGGAATGGTATTGTGTTCATTTTTTCCTCCTTTTAATTTGTGCAATGATCGTATGAGAAGGACATACGATCCTTCCTTTGATCGAAGTCTTTGTTTAGTTCCTGAGTTCTTGTAGCTATATTCATCCTTGCTTTGAAGTGAATGCAACAAAGCTGGACATAATCAAGTATTTGACTTCAGAAACTTACCTGATCCCTGAAAAGGAGCTTATAGGGTGAATTCAGAGATCCAGAGAAGTTTGCTTTACTTGGTCCAGAAGGACGCATTCACATTATTGGTGGTTTTTCACTAGAGGTTCAAGTGCTCCACGTCTCCCAAAATCAGGCTTTGTAAGAAGTTTTTAGGTCTCCCTCTGTGAAAGCAGCTGGTGCGTTAATTCTTTCTTTCCTCTGCCTCAGCTCATTCTACTGATTTCTTCCAAGATGTATCAGAACTAAAAACCACATTTACATTCACAGGGCAGGAGTACTTTAATTAGAGCAACAGAACTCAAACTAGAGCTCTCCTTTATATTTTCCACAGGGCAAGAAATATAATTTGTCTTGTAAATGAAATCTTAAAGAAAGATCTGTATGAATTTGAGGACATACAGAAACAACTCAGCAGTCCACAGTGGGGTCACAGCCTCAAGGTTAAAAAGTAATTCACTAGTGTGTGAACAAAGCTACAAAGAAGGCGAATACTAAATATTTAATACTGATTTGTCTCTTCTCCATTCTCCTTTCTCTTTTCACAGCATTGGAGAGCATGGAAGGATATTATTATAGAGACAGTGTCTCAGTAGAAGAATTTCAAGCTCAGATTAATGCAGCTTCATTAGAAAAAGCCAAGCAGTATAACCAGAAACTACGGTGGGTAATAAACTAACATTTCTGAAATTAGTTTACCAAGTTCTGCCTTTCAACTCTATTTCTGTGACACATCTTTAAACTGAAGTGCATTGTATGGCGGTTGTTTTTAGGTACATGGTTGAATAAGATCCAAGATTCATGGTTCTGAATTTTTTGATTTCTGCGCTGTTGCTTTCTAAAAAACTGTTTTCCCTTGAAAGCTGTAGCTGTAACTGTCTCCAGGTTGTTGTACTAAAAGGAATATGTTGTACTAAAAGGAAATGTCTACTTGATCGCAAATGGGAGTATCAGAATTGCTAAATACTGTGATCTGATTTTTGCAGACCATATTTACCTGATTTCTACAGAATAGGACTTAAAAAATAGTAGTGTTTTCCTCAAAGCTGAGCATCTCCCTCCCCACCCCTCACCATACTAATGGAGTATAAACATATTTGGATTCTTGCATCAGGTTCAGGTATGGGTTACAGTGTGCATACTTGCCAGTATATGTAAAGATTGTGCAGCTGTGTATTTCAGTAAATATTTTGTTAAGAAGTTGCACATAAAGACAGAATTTGTGGTATACAAAATAATCTATTAGTTATGAAGTAAAATAATGAAGATATGTACGTAGCCCACTCTTGCATCTCGCTATATCTGTGAAAAACACCTGTTGGAGTACACTTATTTGCATGAGTTGAAGAAAGAGTGCAAACGACTGCAGTAAAGTCACGTCTATTCACTTTTAAAATTCTCGAATCAGATGGAAACACTATAATTTCACTAGAACTGTTAGGCAGCTTTTAAAAGCAGCAGAGAACAGGAGTTTAAAAAAGAGGTTAAGGACAGTGGAGAAGGGCAAAGAGGATAAATGAGGGTCTCTCTTTCCAGTTCGTCGGTTGGTCCACCTCGTCTTTGGAAGGTTTTCTTCATGGATATTGCAAAAGTATTTCTCTGCTGTGTTATCAAAACAGTGGACTTTCTAGATTCTGTTTTAATCTGAGCAGTACCATAGCAGAAGTGATTTTAAAGCCAGTTGTATTCAGTGAGTGCTGTATATTTCATTTTTTGGTGACATCTGTGTCAGTGCACTTCTATGTTCGTGACAAATGTAGTATTTATGTAGTCTGTTTTCCACTTTCTTGTATTAGTGCTTCCTATTTGGGGGAAAAAAGTTCCTCCTGAGTATTTATTTGACAAGGCTTATGTTATAAATCAGTTTTACAGAAAGCTTTGGTCATGCCAGTATTTGGCCTAGATGAAGTCAGCTAGTGTTGGAAAGAGTTTTGTCAGTTGGACAAGGCAAGACTTTTTGTGCTGTTTTTTTCTATGAATAGACCCGATTTAGCCCCCATGAAAATCGTTAAAAGAAATTCTCCCTGACTTTATGCTCTAGTGTTCCCTGACCTTGCTTACCTCGTGTGTTAGGACCTCCATTCATGCTGTGGCTCTAATGAGGTACATTCCTCTTACGGTGTTGTGACTCACAGCTCTGATCAGTTGCTAACCTCCAAGGCCTAGTTTTGCAAGAAGTTACTATGAAAAAGTTAGCATTCAGTAAAAATTACCATGGGTAGCTCTGTCCAGTGACAAGAATAGGAAAATTTATTTTTTTCCAGCCATCTAATGTCTGATGAGAACATTCAGTAATTGAATTTTTGTTTGTTTTCTGGTGAACTCTACCCATTTCTTAGGTGAGGCACAAACAGCTTCAGGAATTCACTGACATGATGTAAAGAGGGAAAACAGAAAAGCAGATGCTTTGTTCTTGTTCTGCCATTTGCTAGCCTGTGTAGGTGTTTGGCAAGGGGAATCTAATAAAGTAACTACAACAGCGAAAGATATTAACATTTGGATAATTGCTCTAAAGAAGAATAAAAAAGTGAAATTGAATATTCCCTGGAAGCATACTCAAGTGTAATAATAGTATCTTAAGCTCTTCACATGGAAGAAATCCTCTATGCAGAACCACCTAATCGGTAATAAAAGAAGTCATTCAAGACACAATCCATAAACCATTCTTTCTCCATAGAAAGGAATGTATTGCTTGCTTGTGAAATGACCATCTGATGACCGTGTTATAAACTCCATCGCTACAGCAGCGGAAAGCAAATGGGAAGAGCAGCAAAGGAAAAAGTAGGAGGAGAAGATGGGGACTAGAGGAAATGAAACTACTGGTTGGCAGTGACGCTGCCACAGAGTCATCTGTTGATGAGAACTCTTGATACAAGTTCAGCTTTTCTTATTCCTGACACTTTTAGATAATAGTGCTCTAGTAATGTGAAACAGATGAGACCACTTTGTTGTGTATGGTCCCACTTACAAACAGAGATGTTGGCCTAACTTGGGATGTACCCAAGCAGGACAGTAAAATTAAAAATGAGTTTGCTCAGCTACCTCTTAATTTCTTGTGGTAAAGTCGTGTTGAATTTTGAGTACATAGAACATTTTTGAGGAATGTGGTGGCTTTTGAGTGACAAATCTGATACTGATGTGTGCCTTAAAAGAATTAATTTGAAAATTATTTATTTGAATGAATCAAAAAGATATATTAGTAAAGTTCTACTGGATTTCAGGAAGGATAACCTTTATCCATCATATAAAGTCAAGAACCTGAATCCTTGTATTTGTAACTATGGAACTGTGACCAGCTTTTCCACAGTATCAGAAGTGATACAATAAATCCAGGTGCAAAATTGTCGTCCTTGACATGATTTGAGCATCATCAGAGCTTATGTCTTTCATGGATCTTGCTTTGGGGCTTTTGCAAATACTACCTGAGCTGTGAAATAGTAATGATAAGATTATCATTTTTGTGAGAATGCATGAAAGACAGTTGAGAATCGGTTATGGAATGTCGTGTTTATGTGCAATGGAGAGAATGTCTCTCCGTCTTCTGTAATAGACTTAACCCTAGCTGTTTGAATCTAATTAATAATATAAGGGAACTTTCATTTTAAGACCAGCTAAAGTTCAGTTTTACTACAATTCCTGTAGGAAATGTACAACGTCCCATATCCCAGCAATATGTAGGAAGTCCTGTATTGGAATAAAGGTGTTATTTAAAAAAAAAAAAACAAACCACAAAACCACCAATACCTAGTTTATGAAATTTCTGAAACTGCTGGGAAATCTTCAGCATCTGGCCTACAATTATTCATAATTGTGATGGATTTCTTTTTCACAGTCAGCCAGATTGTACTTATTTGTATAGTTCACCTGTTTCTCTGACACTGATAAGGAAAAGAAAGTTACGCTCAGATTCTGTTTGCAAGTTGAGCTGGTGCTAGTAGTTGCCAACAATGTAAATTTAACCGTGTCAAATTGTTTGCTAATGAGAACCATGCAGTACAACCAAGTGAAAGTAATTAGGGCAGCAAAGATTTTGAAGATCTTTATTACTATGTGTTTGATAGCTTAGCAGTTGTCTTCTAATTTAGAAGAGGACCAGGAAAAACCTTTGTATCTGGCCTGTACAGAGGCTGATGTTAAGTGAGCCCATTGTGTATTATCTTGCCTCGTCTCACTTTTCCCCATCTCCTTACCATTAGAATAGGCTTTTGCCATCCTGAATCAGCCCCTTTGCCTTTAGATACCAGAGAATGTTTTGCTTCAACGGTGCAGGGCACAATGGTGTTTGACTCCATAAGTACTACGAATGCTGATAGGAATAACAAAAACTCACGAGTGCACTATATTTACTTGAACTGCTTGGTTGGTTGAAGTGTTGTCTTGCAAATCTCAAGTTATGTAATTGTAAAAGCATGAGGGTAAACTTTAGTTGTAATTTTTGAAGCATTATTGCTTTAGGAATTATTTAGTTAAAATACATTCTGTCCTTTGAATGTGAATTTTATATTTGGTAAAGGTCTCTTTCCTGCAGAGTGAGATTCAGTATGGTAGTTATTATTATGTTGCATAGAAATAAATCTTATGGTCATTACTGCAACCAAAAGATTGGTTGCAATGCAGGCCTGTTGGAAGCTGGGACAGACCCTGAGAGACGGAGGGCCATAACTCAGCCAGTCCTTGGACTGAGTAGTGACTTTAAGATCAGACATTTAGTTGGGTATGAGAACAGCTTTAATCCTCAGAGAAATCAAGTTTTGGATTACCTTCCTGCAAAAAGTAAGCCATCTTTTGAAATAGACCTTGATGAGTGTAGGAATGACAACTTTTGTAATGTTTGTTCAAGTTATCAGAGGTTTGGACTTGATGTCCCAGCATGGGACTTTCAGTCTACAGTAATAAGAAAGCTTACTCTTCCAGTCTTCCTTTCTCTGTGCGTATTTTATCAGATTAGTCTTTTTTTTTTTCTTTTTTTGTCTATGAATTCTCTTTCTGGGAAAAAATTGGGTCCCTCTTATGACATTCTATTAAAATGCAATTTTCTACAGGTGCTCCTGGTTAGCCTCTTAATCAGAGAAGTCCAGGCACCTCTGCTCTTGAAGACCTTTTCCCTGGACGTGTCTGTGCGCACAAGGGATGTATCTCAGAGGAAGAGAGGATGTTCAGGGCACAGGTCATTCAGTGGGGTGTAGGGTTGTGGCTGTCCCAAATATGCTTCCAGCTTCTGGGTCTCTGCAGTATGCTTTGCTGCACATTGTTGACTGCAAGAGCAAACTGTGGTGGAATATAGGTGCCTAAAACTGCACATCAATATACCTCTTTGGATTCCAAAACTGTCTATGCAGATAATTTTTAGCCGATGAGAAATTAGTGAAGTCACTGGCCTTTAGATTCATAAGTGTTTTTAATGGCTCTTCAGCATCTATGCTTGCATTTAGACATCTAAACACCTTTAAAATTTGGTTCCTGATTGACTTGGATTGGGAATATTCAGAGGGGAAATAAGCAAAGTAATAGATGAAGGTGAGGTTAGGAGAGCTCTGCTTTCCCATAACTTTTCTTTTATCCCCAGCATGGCACTTTCCTGTGACACCCCTGACTATATGATGACCCAGTTCTTCTCTCCAAAGATAGGATCATGCTGTGGGAAAGACAGCTGAGGGTTGTTA